TTGCTTTCTCTCTGTCGCATGATTTCATCAAGCTCAAACATTCTAAAATATTTTCTCCATAAGTTCGGGGCAAGAACATCATAAGAACTTAAAGACTGAACATCTGTAAAAATGTAACCATCCATTACAGGTTTGAGTTGAAATAAGTCACCTATTGTGATTATGCTGACACCGCCGAAATCTTCTTTACTACCTTTTAAATCTTTCAAACGGTTGTTCAATTGAATGGTGAACATGCTGTTGCCAACCATTGATATCTCATCAAGCAATATTAACTTTAATGAACTTAGTTCGCATCTCATCGTATTCAGTCTTCCAGAATCCAATGGTTTATAATTTTTCAATGACTGACTTGCTGGAATGCGCAAGGCACTGTGAATCGTGTTACCTTTTATAAGATATGCAGCTTTTCCTGTTGGAGCAAGCAATAATATATGAACACGATGAAAATCGTCCCCTGCTCGTGAATTGTAATACTTCAATGCTGCCTGGTATATCGATTTAATAAGGTGAGACTTTCCGACACCTCCACTTCCACTGAGAAATGCGTAAAATGGTTTTCTGATGTTTTTATCAAATGCAGAGCATGATAGAAGAATTCTCTTTGCTTCTTATTTAGCAGCTGAACTAAGGTTCGATATTCGTTATCTTGCATTTCATTTAAAATCAACGGCTCATTATTTGGTAAAGAAGACGGATGCCCAAATTTTCAGCAAGATGATCAAATGTTTCGTTTAAATCAGGATGTGTATCCACGCATCCTTCATCCTGATCATGTCGTTCAACATCTTGTGTCACAGGTGCAATGGTATCAAAAGCATCATCATCACATTCGTCTAAATGATGTCCAATTTCATTTAAGTCTTCACTACAAACAGCATATTGTTCCATTTGCTTACTGATTTCTTCATTTCGAGCTAAATAGTGTTCTTCAAAACAGGAATAATTTCCCATCAAATCGGTTTGTTCATTCCGCCAAGGAGTAAAGAGCATAATTAACTCGCGATAATGTTTTTCAGGTTGAGTCTCTTTATTGAACCAGACACTTCGGATTACTCTAGCTCGAGATCTTTTCCTTATTTTCATATTTTCAGGAGTTTTTACAACGTGAAGATTATCGTCATTTATTAACAACTCGTCGTCATTATCTTCATCATTATTTTCTAATGGAAGATTATCAACGTCAGGCTTGTTTGTTTTCCTATATGTTTTTTGACCACAGAGTCGTACCATGCTGCCCAATCAGCCAGCGTCACATTTTGCAAACAATCAGGTCGTTCTACATATCTTTTTAAAAGACCACCAGACTGAATTTCTTCTGATTCATCAGACATTTTCTCTATTTCACTCAATGGTTTAAGTAATTCGACTCTTTCAGAAGGAGGAGATGTGTTAATGAAAATTACACTACGTGACGATTTTCGCATTGGAAGTTGCAAAACAATATACACGGCTTCTTGTGCACATATTTCAACAGAATTCAAAAATTTGTTGCCAATATCACGAACTTGCTGTTTGATATTTGTATTACCTTCTTTCGCTTCAGCACAAGCTTTACGCAGTAATTCACTCATTCCTTTTTGACCTTTGGAAATATATGATACAATATACATTGCACATGCATATACATCTAAGACATATTGAATGTCCATATTTGCTCGCCATGCCCGAAGGCAAACAGGATTGTAATTATTGATTCTTAATTCATTTGGACTTCTTTTTAAGAAGATTGTCGAGTATTCAAAGATGATCGTATAGCAAGAAATATTGCCGTTCCGAAACACCTAACTCTTGTACTAATTCATCAAAAGTAATGTCTTTACCTTCCTTAAAATCATTTAGTTTCGTTTTAATCTCTTTCCACAATTCTTTGCTGGCTTTAGCAACAGTTGAAGAGATATCTCCATCGAGTGGATAAAGAATCTGAGTACATCTGATTGGTGGTTGTGGATAGTTGAATCTACAAATATTTTAGACTTTTTCCTGCAAGTATGAGAATGTCTGTGTGTCTGTCTATTTACAAGATCAAGTAATTCTGTATCATCTTCTGGTTTGCTGCAGGTAATTATGCTATCAATATAAGCAACAACATCTTCATCTTTATCAACACCAAACACAGGTGCATTTTCAAGCCATATCAACATATGAATATGAGGTGATCCCCGCTGTTGGTATTCAACTCTATAAAACCAATCTTTAATTTTTCCTAATGGAGCAAGCTCACTCATTAAGACATCTTTTAAGAAGGTATTGAACTGAAAATCAAAATGTCTTGAACAGGTTACTGGGTCACTTTGTATTAGTCGACACCTTTCCTCCCAATTAAGATTGTTCAATTCGTCATCACTATAATCCTTGTGATCAATAAGTTTACCAAGAATTCTTAATAAATGATTCCATTTGGTTTCTGCTGACGAGAAACTGCAAAATAATGATGCTGGTCCTAACTGACGAATCATGGCAAACAAGTCTTTTTTGGCTCGTTCAAAATAAGGTGGTGAACCCCTAAGAGTTTTCAAGAATCTGAAACCATCATCATGGTTTATTAAACTTTGTAAACCTTCTGCAGTTTTTAGGTCTCCAGCAGTAAGTGTTCTGTACCTATTTTGTTTTTTCGGAGTGCAATCTGTGACTGACCAATCAAGAATTTCATTTGTAACTTCTTAGCTTTGAAGAATATATTTTCAACACACATGGCAGCTCGTCGATCAGATCTTCTTAACTCAGATTTACATATGTCACTATAGTAAACACTTCTTAACCTTTGTTTATCATCAGGTCTTTTTTGTCCAAGAAATATGCCTGGATATGACATTTCTTCAGAGTACTGATCTCTAAATATACTCAACGGCCTGTTACCTTCACCAGGAGCAACATTATAGATTTCCTGTCTCACTATCACTGACAAAGTCTGGAGGAGTCAACATACTATCAGTTACTCCAGCTGGTATTTCTGCTTCAGCCTCACTCCATTCATCTTCAGGGAGGTTTGATGTTAAATCATCTTCACCATTTGATGTCTCAATATCACTGGTCACATCCAATGACTCTTCCAGGTTTCAACCAATTCTGGTTTATAATAATCCTTGATCTTGATACAAAGCACTTGTGTTAATTAACCATGCAGTTGCTTGCATTACTTTGTGAGGTCTTATTCATTGAAAGTGCAGAGCTTTTGTATTGTAATCTTCGTTTAAGTTGAACTTTAATAGTACCCATCTCATCTGATAGTCTGGGCAGCACATTAACAGTGCTGTTTACATCTGCAGGCACATTGACAACATTACCTGTAATCTTGAGTTGGCCACCTCTTGGGGCCTGAAAAATCTTTTGAAATGCCAACCGAGGAGCAATAAGTCGACATTCTAGTTCATTTAGATCAAAGAAAGAAGGTCTTTCTGGAAATTTCATGCCATTAGCAATTGCACAAGGGGGACTTTGCTTTCTTAAATGGTTGTTACAAGTTTGACAAAGCCATTCAATGTTATCAACACTTTTTATATTTTGTAGATACTTGTTATATCAGGATTGACCATTCTTAGTCTGTCTGCCAGAGAAACAGAATGTTTATACCATAATTGGTCACAGCAAGTGCAAACATACAAAGGTCCTGTAGATACAGAATTATGAAAATTTCTCACAAGTGTCAATGTACAATATCTTCACTAGGCAAGTAACAATTCTCAGCATTTGCAATATTTTGAACTGAATGTGATTCATTACTTTTCTTTTGCTTTTCAAGCAGTATTTTTTCTAGAAGCTCTCTTTCTTTCTTTCTCTTTTGCAATTGTTGCATTCCTTTGCTCAGTAGTTTCATTTTGTTTTGTTGCTTTCTTAGCATTAATTTTTTGCAAGTCTAGCTTCCTTTTCCTCTGCTGACTCATTTCTTCTTACTTTCTGATATTTCTATTTTTTGAAGTCTAGCTTCCTTTTCCTCTGCTGACTCATTTTGTCTTCTTACTTTCATAATTTCTATTTTTTGCAAGTAGCTTCCTTTTCCTCTGCTGACTCATTTTGTCTTCTTACTTTCACAGCATTTCTATTTTTGCAAGTCTAGCTTCCTTTGCCTCTGCGACTCATTTTGTCTTCTTAATTTCTCAGCATTTCTATTTTTTGCAAGTCTAGCTTCTTTTTCCTCTGCTGAATTTTGCCTTCTTACTTTCTTAGCATTTCTTTTTTTTGCAAGTTTAGTTTCCCTTTGCTGAGTGGACTCATCTGGTCTCACCCTTTTCCTACATGTATTTATTTGACTACCAATTATTTGACTGTTCAACTCTTTTCTGTTAACATTATGTTGTTCAATAGCTGAGTAGTATCTGTCATATCTGTATTTCCATTATCTTCTGTAGACAATACTAGTGTTCTAAATCATTATTATTGATGCACTTTACGCCCTTTAACTCAAATGGCAAAACAATATTTGCTTCATTGCACCTTGATGTTAACCGAAAATACTCTCCAAGATTTTCTATCCCTTCCACTGATATCAAACACAATAATGCAATGCGGATGGTCTACCATACATATCTCGAGAATGAGAATCAAACACTTTAAACACACCAGGAAAAGGCATCATGATTGCCACAGTGTTCATACCAATTGTAAGTAAACAACTTTTATAGTTTAAAGAATAAAATACTTCATTCAAAGCATGCTCAAGAGTCACATATGGAAAACTATTTTCACTCAAATATAATGCTCCTGAAAAGGAATCACTGTATTGCAAATTAAAGGTATGATTATCTATGTCTACATACTCAGGGACATCAGTTAATAATAAATAACTCTTATTTATACTTCGGCTGATAACACAATACAAACTGTTTCCACTTACTAAAATTGTGTTCAGAATTGACTTGTCCCAAATATTGACTGATTTAATTTCTTTGTAAACAATTGCATATAGTGACATGGCAACACACTGTTTACCAGCATTCACCCAACATTAAGTCATTACCTTGATTAAAATCAGCATGGATTGTACAAGCAGGGTCAACTATATTTATAGTCCTAGGACCTGGATTTTCCTCCACATCATTTGAAAGTCTTAAATAATGGCACATAAACATTATTATAGTATATCATTTGAACATACATAAGCAAATTCACTGTTTTTTTGGCTCTTATTCAATTGGCTTTTGAGATAAGGCAAGCAGAATACATTAAAGTAAAACATTAATAGTAATTGATTCCAAAGTATACCTTTAAGACGACACAAACTGTTGCGACAATGTGTAAAATTGTGATGTGAACCAATCCTGGCCCGATAAACTTCAATAGTCACACCCATATTTATGGTCTAGAACTCAGAAACCAAATGTCAATTCTTGACTTTTTAAAGTGTCTTATTTGTCAGTAATTTGCCTGCAAGTCGGCAGGTAATATTTGGGTATATTATAAGGTTGTCAGTATATTTGTTAAAAAGTGCTGTAAATGCAAGTTGGCAGTAATGTTAAATAGTTTGTTTGAGTATACCAGCACAACGGCTGTCGTTTTATTTACCCGCACAATGGCTGGGTTCAATTTCAATACCTGCACAATGGCTAGGTTTAGTTTCAATACCTGCACAATGGCTAGGTTTAGTTTCAATACCTGCACAATGGCTAGGTTTAGTTTTGATACGTGGCCTTTCACGTGAATAGTACCCTGATCTATGACGACCAGTGCGAGCAACAATGGCTCCAGTTTATTTGATTTTTGATTTGATTTTTGATATTTTGATTTGATTTGATTTGATTTTGATACGTGCACCTTCGACACGTAGAGCGCCTGACAAACCGTCAGTGCAGGCAAGTTTGCCCCGAATATATAATATGTACGCTCCAATAATCCGATTGTGATCGAAATTCCTCGAGCACGGTAGAAAAGCGAGCGATAAAAATAACAAATGTCACAAAAATACACAAACTTTAAAGTACTCACCTTCGCTTTAAAATTTGAGAAACGTAATTACAGGACTTCGGTCTCTTCCGTCCTTCGAAAACAACGAAATTTTCCGGAAGTAGAAAAACTATAGCCAATCGTAACACGAACGTACCGTTCGTCATCTTTCGTATATCCGGCTATTGCCGAAGATGTGGCACCCACACACAAATACACATCCGGACACTTTTTCGACTACATAGTGGTTAGCCGCGCATGCGCAGGCTACCCACAAAAACTAACTATAAACGAGTATATAACACATATAAAGCTAATTAGGATAACATATGTGATATGACAATTAACGAGTACTTATACTGAGAATAACATGCATTAACACGGTTAGCTGGAAAACGCGGACACGGACACACAGACACACGGACACGGACACACGGACATGGAAAACGCGGACATGGAAAACACGGACATGGAAAACACGGACATGGAAAACGCGGACATGGAAAACGCGGACATGGAAAACGCGGACATGGAAAACGCGGACATGGAAAACACGGATATGGAAAACGCGGACATGGAAAACGCGGACATAGAAAACGCGGACATGGAAAACACGGACATGGAAAACATTTACTATTTTAAATAAACTAGTAAATGAGAGTTTTAAAGCGGAGATATACGATTGTGACAATGTTATGATTTGTTGTTATTTAATGTATTTCTTCATTACTGCAATGCCATGTTGTAAATGTTGCTTTGTTTTTATCCCTGAATATATTGCAGATACCAAAAATGGTGCATTTATCCAAAATAAGCCCTACATGAACATTTTTTATTGCGTATTTTGAAATTCCCAAACATATCATTTTAACATGATATAAGTTTTTCACTCGAAATGTTTTGAAACTACAAATTTAGAACGATTTCGTCGGCATGGGAATTTCAAAATACGCACGCACCAAACTTTTATAGAAAAATAGCGTATAGAGTATGTAGATTTCTAGAGTACCAACGTGAATAGATATTGATACGCCATTTATTTAATAAAGGCACCAACGACAGTTGCTTACTCACAAGCAGGTCCACGTTAAACACTGACTTAAGTTTGCTTGAGTCTCCTATATTTATGCAGAGCGATACCGGAACGTGCAATGGTTCTAGAAATGTTGTTTTGCGCAACGGACATCGCTACGTTAGGCTGGGAAACCGCATTGCGCATTTGCTGACTAAACTTACGCATTTTGGTTTAGCGGTTGTGGCTGCGGAAAATAACAAGGTTGTTTTTGCCAATACAATATTATAGAAAACATCCGTTGGTTAGTCTCTTCCGTTTCGAAACCAACACTACTTGTTTGTATAGCAGTATGGTCTATAGATATACGTTCTGCGGTCCTTTGTAAGTACACATACTGGTCTTATATTGCTAGGATTTTTTAATGTTTGAAAAAATGTTTAAAATCTTCAGGAGATTGTCCGTTAAACTTGACCAAAACCTTTCATGACAAGGTTTAGGCATAGAAATTCAAAAGAAGACATTCATGGACATTTCTTGTCTATGGTTTAATATTATAATTTGTATCCATTCGGCGATGGTTTGGTCTCTTAATATTCACTATATGCTTCCGTGTGTGTATGCAGTTTCAGGCGGCAGGTGCTCCAAACAAGTTTGGCAAAACCATAACCCCCGCTGTTTTAAGCGCGTGATCTCTATATAGCACCAAGCACGGTCTCCTTTTTTGCAAAGTTGAAGCACCGCTTGTTCGAACGGTGCCTCACTAACTCACGTTTATCATATTTTAATATTTCTTTTATCAGTTGGCTAGGAACCTGAGTCATTTCCATAGAGCAAACTGTATTGTTCAAACGACCATGCAGTATCGTCAAGAGGGAGGCATGGTACAAAAATATGGGTAGCGCAAAAATGAAGTGAAGAGAAAATTAGCGGGCTCTGGGGATCGATTCTGCCGATAACAATGGTTAAACTACATTACGCTTGAAATCAGTGCTCTAATTTTCCATGTTTACCGGATATTTTTTCAAACATAGATTCCAGCTCATACTCATTGAGAAGTTTAGCGAACCAAAACAGTGGTAAATATTCCGATGTACAAAATATACTTGTTTGCATGACGGACTTTGCCTTAGCTTTCAGCGACGTTCTAACAGCTTACTGAAACAGATAGATGTTAGATGGCTCGAAAAGCTGTTTATGGTGATGTACACTTTCGGCAAAGTAGATTAAATTGCTGCACAGAATATCATGCCCTGAGAGATTTTTTATTGCTTCTCATTAGGAAGAGAAGTCACCTGATTGCAAACATGTTTATTACCAGTCATTCCAGTTGTGTTCGTCATAGTTCAGTGGTTCAGACGTGACGCGCTCGCTTTCTCAGTAACTGATTTGTATACTGGAGTGACTGCACGATATCATGCATTTATCGCGGTCTAAAGATCTGGGTAAAATCCTGAGCTACATTACCTTCATAGACGCCAATCCATCGTAGACATCACAGCATCACCCAGTTCTTGCATATCTCCCTATCAGATTTCCAAGAATTTTCGAAGCAATTCAGCGTTATTTCTTTTGTGTACTCTCGCAGATCTTAAAGAGATTTTGAAACTATAATCGTAATTGTCTCGTAAAAAAAGTAATTGTTGCAGAGTGAGGTATTTGAGTACATGTTACCAATCACCATGATCGTCACCACAGCTAGTTAGGGCATACTAGAATTCGCGAAATTACAGAGCTTAGTTTACAAAATGTTGTAAAATGCCGAAAATACAACCTTGTCATATTTTTTGTGCACATTCGTAGCTCAAAATTATAATTTTTGTACGCCATGAAAAAAGTGTACAAATTTTTTAACTTAATTTGCAATGCCGTTTCTTTCGGCATTTATTATCAGTATGCTTTTCTATGAATGTACCTCTTGCTATAAGATAACAGTTACCCTTAGGCTCGTTTCAGACGTCGAACTTTTCATATGGGCTGAATCAAAGACTTTAGTTCATCAACAGGCATTAAGTTCGACATATGAAAATTTCGAAAGCTGAAACATGCCTTATAAACCAAGTGGTCAATTATGGTCAAACATGGTCTGAAAACTTGGTTAAAGTTTGGGAACATTTTTTTATTATTTTGAAATTTCAGCACAGTGCAGATAAATATGACGGCTTTTTACTCAGTGATGCCAACTGTAATTCTGTAAAAATTCCAGGTAAGCTCCCGAAATATCCCCAGGTCTCCTAAGAAGCAAAATGCGACAAAAAATCAAGTTAAACAGCTGAAAAGAATAAGTACGATTGCACAAAACAAGATTTGTGAAACATGTTTATTTGGTCAAGTTCATCGAAATATTGACTATTAAGTTCCAAACTTGCATTTCTTGAAATTCCAGAAAAAAATCTCGAGATTTCCAATTCAAACAAAATTCCCAAAAGAATTCAAACTGTTTTAAAGAATCCCGAGATCTCGGGATAAAATCCCGGACTGGCAACTCTGTTTTACTCCAAAGAGCCTGAGAACCACTTTCGTTAGATATTCGGGGAAAGTCCCGCCTTCTGAAGGATGTCTTGGGTGAGTGAGCATCACATGCAGCGTGCTGAAAGATGATTGGCAGATAACAAATACTATTGACTATAGTCGATCTATAGTCGATCTTGTGATCAGGATTGGGTTCACAGGAAAGACAGATGACAAAGTTTTCATCCGAAATATTTCATTTTCGATGCTGTATTGATCGTCGCCCTTCACTATGTCGTAGCATGTAAACAATTGAAGGTAGGAAATTAATAAACCATGTGCAATCTCACAGTAATTCGCATTTGCTGCAACACGACTAGTATTAAATCATGTGACGACTGACGATCGAGTGTGTCGTGCGAGATTTGGCGTATGAAGCAGCCTTAGAGACCTATTTTTCCTACGAACTACAATAGTTAGTCATGTCGTCTAACTATTCTAACTATCTAAATATTGTTTGCAGTTATATTAACATGAATATATAGGTTATAGCCGTATAACCTTTTTCTTTATAGCGTGAGCCAGAATATAATAAATTGTATACTTCCGGTAAAAATCAGGGTAACTTATTGCGGGCAGACTCTCTGTTGCGCATGTACGAGAAGACCAAATTATCGCGTATAGTTTATCCCTACTTTTGGTCTAAACAAGGGTTAAGAAGACATTTTCCAGATCGCGTGGCGTTTCAAAATGTTGTAGGGAATAATCTTACTGCGTAGGAGATTAGTAACTAACCTTGTGTATTCAGAGTAACGACAGATTATAAGCGAGTATAATATTCATAGACGACTAGAAATCATTCGTTGATCGAGTATATTTTTTAGAATATTTTTTCCGAACATTATTTATGGTTGCGGCACTCGCAAGCTCTGATAGTGGAGGTTTAATTGCAAGAAATTCGGGACGTTTTCAGTGCGAGATCGTAGTGCGTTCACACAAAGAATTATATTATTAATACGATACCGCCGTTTGTTTACGACGATATTAAATTACATTGTACACACGGCGTGTGTCACACGCAAAGTAGGTAATTAATAAATTGTCCTTCCAAAGCTTAACTAGTAATCAATGGAATTATGTAATGCCTGTAGTTTACCTATTTATAACCAGTAAAACGGGTACGACGTAGATACGACGAAACAGAAAAAGTTCACAAAGAGCAATGGGGTGTGTATGCTGTGACAAAATGTCTTTGTCAAGCCGATATAATTAGATATAATACACATCATTATGTCTGTTTCCCACTAGGCGAATTTATTTGCGCGACGCAAAGCGATATCTGAAATGTATGTGTTTGGTCTACATTGACACTATGATCAATACAAATTATACAATCGTATCATTCAACCGACAAAGTAGGGAGACCCAACACTTCTCTCAAAAAGTTCTTCAGCAAAGATTTACCTAATAGAGTATTCTCTTTGAAAATGCTAATAATAAAATTAATATGATAATTTTAGCAGGTACATTAGGCTGCACACCGCCCGCCTCCCCGCGCGCCATTGATGAATTTTTCCCCGTCCGGATAACCTCAACCTCGTACCCAGGGTCTTTACTCGATAACCTTAGTATAACAGTAATTTACACGTCACGCGCACGTGCTAAAGCTGTCTGCCATATGTATGTTGGACCGTCTTAAAGAGCGTTTGATTCCGTTGCAATAACTCAATGAAGTTATAAGCTAAGCTCAAATACTGATTTAGCAACCGAAATAGCGCGGAGATTAAAAGTACTCGAGAACTAAAACAAATGTTTTCACACACTAGAAAAACGCACAAAAATGAGGCCGTCGACAACTATTAGTTGTCTACAACTATGCAGTTTTCCTTTTCGAAAAGGGAAACTGCTTAGTTGTCGACAACTAATAATTTAGGGTTTAGTTGCCGAGAACTTGCGCCGACAACTTTTTTGTTGTCGATCACAAATAGTCGTCGACATCTAATTCCCTAGTCTGTGGAGGCCCTAAGTATAATAATTACTTTTGTTGTTATTATAACGAGTTTGCGATTTATCGTCGTAATAGTTTACATGCACCGAAAGACTTATAGCCTCATTAACGAACGAAACTCACGTTGAGATCATTGTTCCCCATTGCATCTTAGTATATTTATTAAGTCTTCTTGAATTGCCTTAATGTCGATAAACATAACTTGTCTAAATATTTAGGTTTATCGTATTTTGTGACTGTTGTTTAGGACGGGCAATTTGGCTTTCGTATTCGCCTGTTTATTAAGAAGTTTCAGGAATTGTATAGATCTTGAAGTATAGATCTTGAAGTGAAATATGAGCGGCGATTCTTATCAAAGGATCAGGAATCTATTTTGCAATGTTTTAATGATAAGAAATCCAGAATTTTAATTTTCTCAGAAAGTAAACAAACTGCGTGAGTTCGCTCCTCATGTAGCTTTCGAAATACAGCATGCAGAGTTTAGACTTTCCTTTGCTTTAAGGATTTAAGGCAAACGTTTACACTACGTGCTTTGACCAGGCCTAGGCCTAGATGTGAACGTTGTTTATCCCGCCCAGACCAGGCCTGGACCTGGTCTAGGCCACAAAATCCAGACCAACACTGGAAGGTGGCTGGACCTGACCTGGGCCAAGATTTTGGTAATGTGAACAGGCTTTATCTAGTCCTGACAAGTTTTGAACTTAATTGTGTAATTTGTATAGAATCCACATAGTATTACCACTTTTCGGCGTGTTTTTGGTGTTTTTCCAAGTATTTTGTCAATTACTTTGGCTATCCGATATCATTAACAAGGAAGACAGTGTGAACGTGGCACATATTACCTAGACTTGTCCTAGAACTGGTCCGGTCAGGTCTAGGCCTGAAGTGTAAACGCGGCTTAAGATACACATTTGACATTTTAATGTGTGTCGTACATTTATACCGACTATATAGTTTACCAGTTCTAAGGCTATACTATAGGTTACAAAACTAGATCAAATTTTGTTTTTTAGGGTGCGCAGTGTGTCATTTTAGTACAAAGTCAGAATTGTTTTAAAGCACAGTCATTTTATCCAAAGATTGTGGTAATATGGGATTGGGCGGATCCAAGGAAGATGCCGTGTCGAGCGAAGACAGCGATGAAGGTAAGAATTATAGAATACTTTTCAGAATAAGCGTGGTAAAAATAGGTAGACTGCACCTGAAAAAATATCACCTCGGCTTGAAATTATGACGCTTTTTCACATGTCCATCATGGCCGCGTGAAACGAAAGACCCAAACTCACCAGTAATCTAGTTACGCAAAATGATGAATGTTTGATTACATATGTCTAGATCGAGTTTCCATAATGTCTTAATTAATCGTATTTTAATTTTGCTATAATCCCCAAGCGGGCGAGGAGCACCCTGCGAGGGTACTAATTCCGCTGGGAGATTAATTACACCCGGGTATTGTGACAGAACATACCGGAAACCAAAGTTGCCAAAATTCTATGTCATGGACCCAGTGATCTCTAATAAAACTGGAACGATAACTGAACAATAAAGACTAGTCATTGGATGAAGCCGATTTGAATATAATTTGCTGATTAAGGTGGCAGCCGCGCGAGCAAATCAAGCCTTCAAAAGAACTGGGGAGAGTGAGAATTCCGTAAAAATCGTATTTTTTGGCAAAAATTGCCAGAAAAGTGCAATTTTTATTTGACCACTTCAACTTTAAACAACGAATTTACCCTTTTTGGATAGACCTAAGTAATCTGCATCATCTTACTGTAAAAACCGGCGAGGTACCAGCCTTGTACTTGAAATATTTAAAGAATTTGAACGGGCCGAAAAAAAACTTCGCCTTCAACTCGCAAAAAAAATAGGTTTGCACCTTTTCACGTTCATAAAACTTGTTTTTTAGTAAAATCTAAGTGTCAATCCTTGTTTTAAGATTTTATTCATGATCAGATGAGATGGATTTGTGTATAAAAACCGGCGTTGTTTTGGTGGTGTAATTTCAACTTTTGGCCTTCATGGCGGCCATCAGTGCTGGCTTCAAAGATGGCGGCCAAGTTATCGTCCCAGTCTTTCTATAGTTCACTGCATGGACCATGGACGTTCAATGGTCATGGTACTTGTGCGCACGCGCAAAATTTGAACGAGTGAAGACTGGTAATTAGCAACTTGCTGATTAGCTAAGACGAAACGTTTGTGTTTCAGTGAAAAACGTCTGCAATTTGACTGTCATTTTGGAAACTATTTTTTTAAAAAAAATGTTTCGAAAGCTCGATATGAAAGAGTTTGAAATATTATCGGAACTGGAAGAGTTAGCAGTGAAAAGGAACAACTCGTTGTTGATAATCTTTGAAATTGTAGGTGTCTACTTTGTTTATTTCGAAGTTTACTTCGTGTTTGCTGTATACGAATGCATTTTATATGACCTTTGGCACAATATGTCGTTTTGCTCGGTTTTGCGAAGACATAACCGACTATGGTTTACATCATCGTTTTAACTTCAAAAAGAGTTCTTAAAAGCGTAATTCGGAGTTTTGATATAACAAATATCACTTTCAAGCTTTTATAGAGTCGATTGCAATCACTGCATGAATTCAATAATCGAAAAACAACATTGACGTTTACTGCTAGGTTATTTATATTATTTGTTTTATATTATTTGTGCTGTTTTGATGTTTTGAAGGTTTAGCTATAATCCAGGTTTTGCGCTAACCTAGCTCTGACCAATTTCCTTGCATGTAGAGATATTGAACAGAAGCAAAACGCAAGTGGAAGTATGAATGTTTGTGAAGAAGGAAAACTACAATTTTGGGAGAATATTTCGTGACAATATTTCGTGTTATAGAAATGAAAACCCTACCCCCTACTATAGGGTGAGCAACCTGGGAGGTGCATAATTCTCACAAACAAATTCCCGAGCGGACGGATTTATGGAACAATTTACGATCGCCGCCTTGTTTGGGAGACAAAGTTATGAATAGCTACTCTTTTGAAATAACAAATGCTACAGTTTGCAACGGGCATTCTCTCCCAACGATTGTAAAACTCCACTTCCCCCAGAATTCAATCATGCCTGCGATGGCGGTTTCCCTTAGGGGCCGATTACATGGGTCATTTTCAACCCCGGGGGTTGAATTCCGCCCTGTTGACCAGAATGAAATTTCAGCCCTGCCTCACTATTAATATCCTATAAAATACAATGCGCGATTACATGATAAATTCAACCTCGGGGTTGAATGCAGCCTCGGGGTTCAAGGTTCATCCCTGCCTGAGCTACCCGAGCTGAAATCTCAACTCTGGGGTAAAACTAGTTGTTAAATTTGTCATGTAATCGTTTCAACCCAGGGCTGAAGTTATTCGAACATGCGTAGTAGTGCCATTTACGCACGTGACTGAATACAAAATGCGAATTTATTATTCGCGTGCATTTTCAAACCCAGGGTTGAAATTATTCATGTAATCGAAAAAAAATTTCATCCCGGTCAACAGGGCTGAATTCAACCCCGGGGTTGAAAATAACCCATGTAATCGGCCCCTTAGAAGTGTAGGACTCACCTGCCATTAATTTTTAGTTCTGAACAGCCCTGGTGCTGGTTTTCATCTTTCTTTCATGTAAAGTTCATCTTTATTTTGCATATTTAGGTATTGAAAAGGAGGAGGAGCCAAATGGGAGTAGAAATGTCTGCGAAAAAGAAAAACAGAAATTTTGGAACGAAATAAAAAAGCAAGTTGAATGTGGTGAAAACAAAGAAGATCGTTGGAAGAAGACGATTCTTTGGCGTGCTTTTCAGTTTAGTACAGTAGATCCGAAAATTGTCAAATATTTAGTTGACCATGGAGCAGACGTCTATTCCAAGAACGAAGAAAGTGAAACAGCTCTGGGGATAGCGACGAGAAATGGTTTACTCGATCTTGTTAAGTATTTTGTGCAATATGGCCCTGAACATAATTTTCAAGATGATTGCAAAGCTCTTCAGGGTGCAATACAGTCTCGATCATTAGAAATTGTGCAATATTTCGTTGAAGATTGTCGTGCTGACATACATTGTAAAGATGAATTGGGGAAAACCACTTTACAGCATGCTGTTGAAGTTGGTGTAGTAGATATTGTCGAATATTTAGTTGAGCAATGTGGCGCTGAAGTAAATGAAAACACTGCTAATGGATGGACAGTGCTTCACACTGCTGCTACTAAAGGCTCACTAGGAATGGTGAAATATCTCGTTGAAAATGGCGCTAATGTAAATGGCAGGATACTGACGGGACGACAGTGTTGCACAATGCTGTTACGGAAGGAACCTCGAAATCGTAAAATATCTTGTTCAAAAGGGTGCTGATGTAAATGGCAAGAAGACTACTGAATGGACAGTGCTCCACACTGCTGCTACTACAAAAGGTACACTAGGAATAGTAGAATATCTTGTTGTAAATGGCGCTGATGTAAATGGCAAGGATACTGACGGGAGTACAGTGTTGCACAGTGCTGCAACTGAAGGAAACCTGGAAATGGTAACATATCTTGTTGAAAATGGCGCTGAAGTAAATGGCAAGAAAAATAACGGGAGGACAGTGCTGCATGATGCTGTTAGTAATAGTGAAATAGTGAAATATCTTGTTAAAAAGGGCGCTGACGTAAATGGCAAGGAAACTGACGGGTGGACAGTGCTACACACTGCTATTACTGAAAGCACGGCAGAGATTGTGAAATATCTTGTCGAAATGGGCGCTGATGTAAATTCCAAGAATACTGACAAGTCGACAGTGCTACACGATGCTGTCACGGAAGGAACGCTGGAAATGGTAAAATATCTGGTTGAAAAAGGCGCTAATGTGAATGAAAAGAAGAATAACGGCTTCAGTGCTGCATGATGCTGTCACGGTGGGAACGCTGGAAATAGTAAAATATCTCGTTAAAGAAGGCGCTGATGTAAATGGAAGAGAATGACGGGTGTACTGTACTGCACTTTGCTGTAACCAAAGGTACGCTAGAAATGGTAAAATATCTTGTTGAAAATGGCGCTGGTGTAAATAGAAAGAATACTGATGGGAGGACAGTGTTGCACTATGCTGTCACGAAAGGAACGCTGGAAGTAGTAAAATATCTCGTTGAAAAGGTGCTGATGTAATGGCAGGAAGATTAACGGTTGGACAGTGCTGCACGCTGCTGTCATGGAGGGAACGCCGGAAATGGTAAAGTTTCTTGTTGAAAGGGCGCTGATGTAAAAGCAAAGAAGACTAACGGCTGCACAGTGCTGCACGATGCTGTCACAGAAGGAACGCTGGAAATGGTAAAGTTTCTTGTTGAAAAGGGTGCTGATGTAAATGGAAAGAAGACTAACGGCTGGACTGTGCTTCACGATGCTGTCACGGAAGGAACACTGGGAATGGTAAAGTATCTTGTTGAAAAGGGCGCTGATGTAAATGGCAAGGAAATTAACGGCTGGACAGTGCTGTTCGCTGCTGTTACTGCTACTACTGAAGGTACATTAGAAATGGTAAAATATCTTGTTGAAAACGGCGCTAAAGTAAATGGCAAGGATACTGACGGGTGTACCGTGCTCCACTATGCTTTTACTGAAGGCACTCCAGAAACGGTAAAATATCTTGTTAAAATGGGCGCTAATGTAAATGGTAAAGATGATCACGGGCGTACAGTGCTGCACTATGCTTTTACCGAAGATACGATTGAAATTGTAAAATATCTTGTGGAGATGGGCGCTAATGTAAATGGTAAAGATGCTGATGGACGTACAATCTTGCACATTGCTGCCCATACTGGTGCATTGGAAATTGTCATGTATTTAGTTCAACATGGTGCTGACATAACTCTTGAAAGTGAAATCGACGTTCATACTCTTGGGATTGACATCCTAAAGATGGCGGTTAAGAGAAATTCGGTTGCTTTGATAAATCTTCTGTTGGAGAAGAACATCGCTCCGTGGAGAGCTGGAACATGGCTTGTTGATGGAAAGCGAATGAGTCTTTCTGAATGGAGTAGTTATCTTGGACATGATGAAATTGCAGCTACCCTCAAATGTTCCGTAAAACATCGTGAAAAGGTTCAGATGTTGAGAACAACGAATTGCAACCAGTTAGAAAAGGTAATGTTTCAAATATGTATGAGTTCGTTTTAATACGTTTGCGTATAGTAACAAATGTTAATAAGTCGTTACATCACGCCTTGTTTGTTTCAGGTTTGAGTAACACAAAACATGTGTTTCTACAAAAATATGTGTTGGATTGATTAAAGATCTAGATATTTAGCTCCTTAGAATTGATGTACCGTACCAAATTTTAGGGGCCCACCCTAAATTATGTCTAGCTTTTTCTCCCAACCATATAGATAATTATGGGTTCCTTCATAGGCTGAAATACCGATGCAGGCTTTTGTCGCACAGAATCAATTCAAAATCGGCGATGGTTGTGGTGGTTCACGTGTCTATGTTGGTCTCATGAAAGATGGAAGTGAAGTTGCTGTTAAGAGAATCTTGGTCCAAAGTGAGGACAAAACAGTTGAAAACGAAAAGGAAATCATGAGTCTCATTGAGACGGAAAACTGTCCATTTATAGTGAGCTATCGTTATTTTCATTCTGGCGATGACTTCATGTATCTTATTGTTGATCTTTGCGAAGAAAACTTGAGTGAACTTGTTCATGCATGCAGTATTGAACATCTACAAGAGCATGGTCCACGAATGATTAGGGAAATTCTATCAGGACTTCAATTTCTTCATGAAACCGGGATATTGCACAGAGATCTAAAACCTTCAAACGTCCTGGTTGATATCGAAGGTCGCATGAAATTGGCAGACTTTGGGATAAGCCGCGTTCTTAAAGACGATGAAACGACAGTTGAAACATTTGCTAAAGGCACTCCTGGATGGATGCCACGGGAAGTAATTGAAGCAATAGACAAAGAAGAAAAAGGTCCTTTCAAAAAGAAATCGGATATCCAGGTAGCGGGTATGATTGCTTTCTTCATCTTAACTAAAGGTGAACACCCTTTTGGATCTTCGTTAGATCGAATGAAAAATATTTTAAAAGGAAACCCTGTCTATTTGAACAAAATCGGCCTTCGTAAAGCCCGAAAGTTTGTTTCGTGGCTTATTCGTCACAAGATTGATGATAGACCTTATGCTAACGAAGCGCTAAGAGATTCTTTCGTTGGTGGAGATTAATGGAAACGTAAATCAGGATTAGTCTACAGAGATAGACGTTGTGAGGAACCACAGTATGAACGTGAAGCTACAGGAAGAACTAGTATTCTGTGAACTTTGACCCTTTATACTAAAGTCTGGTTCTCGTATGTCACCGACGGTCGGTGATGACCATTGTCGGTGATCACTGGAGAATAAAATGCGTTGTTGTTTTGTATAAATTTTCTTCGTCACCGACCAGAAAAAATACATCACCGATTGTCGGTGACATAGGAGAACCAGCCTAAACATAGGAAACTGGAGAACCATTATTGAATGAGGTTGAGCATTATAATATAACTGTATACTTACTGCCATCTGATTGTCCCGGAGATACTCTTCAGATTTCAGCTCATGGTGAGTGGCAAAAATAAAATGGCCGACAGTTTTGCATACGAGTGATAAAGAAGAAATTAAAACACTTTTTGAAAGTTTAGTTCCCAGAGATTTAAACAAATAAACAAAATATGAGATTCCTCAAATGCGGTATGACAACTGCCTAAAATAGACAAAAACACTTCTCGACGTTTCGACGAAGGCCCTCAGGTCGAAACGTCTAGAAGTGTTTGTTTATTTTAGGCAGTTGTTATGCCACTTTTGGTGCTAAGTTGTTTGAAGACGCTGCCACGCTGCACCCTGGTTATATTGAAAAATATTGATGGGTAAATAGAACGAACAAATGGAAGCTTTTTGTTTATGATATGTCCATGTAAACATTGAGCGGAAGATTGACTGAGATTATATTCGTGGATTCTGGACTTGAAATTTCTAAAATATTAACCCTGAGTTTTTGGAACGATATTGTTGATTTTGCAAGGGACAAAATTCGTGAAAATATGAAAAAAATCAGCTTAAATTAAAATCAATTAAAATTAATTGCAATACATTTTGCCACTTTCCATTCCAAGAGTATTCCGCTAATCAAACAATCTTTTCTATAGCAAGCCAAATTTTCAGGCGCGAGAAATATTTCGGCAACTAATTAGGCAAATTTCAGAGATAATCAAAATTGGGATATCTATGCCTTAATATTGTTTAGTATTGTTCTATTTGTATGTATAGCAGTATAGTGTATAGATATACAATCTGTCCTTTGTAAGGAAACTTACTAGTTTTATGACTTTTTAAGATTGTAATCTGTTTTTAGAAATAAATCGAGGACCTATGAAAAGCCTTCATATACCAATCTCTGATATTTCAAAAAACTCTTGAGCGACATATTTGTGTTTTAGAAATACCATCAGCCTCACTCCCCCCAGCTACTGACCTCAATAATATGAATGCAACCTTATTTTTCTATTTCTTTCATTTGTTCTCTCTGAACGTTAGCCATTTTCGTGGGATAAACCAGAGGCGGGCCTAGGGTCCAGTCAGTCGCGCGACTTACGTATTTTTTGCAGGCGGAGATGACAATTAAATATTCAAATCTATCTATAAATATGAATAACTAACTTCCTTCCCGATTGTAAAATATTAGATTCATATCATAGGCCAGTTTGAAGGGCTCAGTTTCAGAAAAACAATGTTCTTTTACCTAGAACAGCGGACAAATGCTTGCAGAATCGGGTCGTCAGCCCGCTCACTTGATTGGTCGATACGGCATTTCGACTTTTTCCGAGTGATTCGCAGGGGGGGGGGATTGATTTGCTCTTTAAGGGAGACAATCAGTCCATTTCTTGTATAGTAACTGGGTAGTTTAAATTTACCGGATTTGTGGAGTGCGGTGGCCGGTTTTACATGAACTTTTAAAGGGGTCTGATTGCTTTGTCTTCAGAGTTCACAACAACAGAATTTAAAATTTAAGCAAGCCAAACTTTTACTTCTAATCTCACGAAGGATTGGAACTTCATTGTTAAAAAATTCGTTTAAGATGCGGACGTTCGAAGTGCGTATGTAGAAGATGACTTACTCTTGATAAACTTTATCGCGCTGCAGCGATTTCATGCGAGCAGCTGTGTTGTCATGAAGGTAAAACTGGTAAGATAAACGTTCAAGAAAGATGAAATGGACATAATTTAACAAATATTGATATATGCTGAAATATATAATGATTTAGGAGTGTTCAATGTGATAACTTCGTGTTCTTTTTGATGTAGCCTAAGAGTGTTTGCATTATGTTGAATGTTCGCGATTAATATTAAAACACTCGCGTATATTTTTATCATAATTGACCATAACAAAGCTGGCGGATGTACATTTTATCAGAATGCATTGCGGTCGGAAATCGTTTAAGAAAGCGAACTGACGTCTTTTAAAGGACAGGCATTAAACAGGAAGTTATTTTAGTAGCTGCGTTAAATTTCACTTCATTAGGAGTTTTTCTTGCCATCTTTTTTCAGTCAATCATTCTTAATGCCCGCAATGCATTCTGGTAAAATGTACATGCCGCCATCTTTTTTGTTACGGTCAATTATTATGTTATGATTAGCATTGTTTTGTAAAGTTCTTGCATGGTAATGACTAATGTATCTTGCACATTGCAATTGAAATGTTTCTCTTTATTTTGCTTGGCGATTTTGTGTGATTTGTGTTTGATCGACTATTGCTATCATAACGCAAATTTCACTCAATCCTGTGATGATTGTGCAGGATTTAATGAGCGAAAGCAACAGCGTGAAGTTGTGTGTTTTGAAAAAACATGACGCCCGCCCTCTGTTAGTTAATCCATGAGCCATCTGCATCATGCGACAACCCAGTGTGGTGGCAAATTATGAGTTTGTCCTCCCCCTTTAGGCGTCCTCCTTGAAACACTACGAGCAGGTCTCACCGAACGGGCCTGCGAAAGCTTATCCTCTCTGTAAAGTGTAAACCAGAGGTCTTTTGGTTCAAACTTAATAATGTTAGCGCGCCTTTAGTTGACGATCAAGTGTGAGATAATTTTATATAGGAATCTCTGCACAGTTTATTATTCTTCTTTGCTATGATAAGAAGAAAATCGCCCTGAACGTTGTTTGTTTGCTTTCATTAGGGTGAAACGTCGCCTGATCTGCAAACATTTTTATCACCTGCTTCGTTCCAGTCTAATTTGAGGGCAGTGATTTACACCTCTGAATCTATAATAATTCTTAAATAGATCAATAGATCATAATATATATATAGCTCGGTGGTTCACACGCGCTGCGCTTTCTTTCTTAGACACTGATCCATGCACTAGTGGCTGAACGCAATTCTATATTTCTAAACGACTTGGGTGAGAGGCTGAGATTTACCTTTATAGACGCCAATCCGTGGCAGAACATCGGCGCGAGTTCTTGTATATTTTCGCTTTTCGAATTTTCGAAGTATTTTAGCGTTAATTTTCTCGTGTACACGTGCTCTGGCAGATTCTAAAGAAAATATAAAACTATAAATGATCCAAACTTTGTGCTTGAAAATATCTTGTAAAGGAAATTGTTGCAGAGTTCGGGCAGGAACCTCTTGAAAAGTGCTTGAATGTAAATATTCAGTTTTAAGAGCGCTTCAAAGATACTTGAGAATACAAGACGAGTTAAGGTGTTTTAAAATAGCTTGAAGAATAGAACATAAATTTAAAACTTCCGGTACGACAAAATAGTCCTTGAAATTTTACAGCTCAGTGCTTAAATTTGTCTATTAATTAATAACATGCATGAACTCTGTTGCCATGAAAATATTTTTAAGTAAGTGTTGGTAAATTAATCACATTCTGCTTCAGAAATTTGTAGTTATCAAACTATCACTCTCAAGCTGATTGAAAACACCAAAATTTTCTCAATATCCGAAGCTTGAACCGAGCAGACAATACTGAAGGGTTGTGATGTGAATCATGGTCAGTAGACACATGGTATAAATACTCAATTAAAAGTTTTCATTCCAGTCAATTTTTCTGCAAATTTCTAAACAGTAAAAGCAAATACATATTATGATTGTTTTAGCATGAAAAGATTGAGAACAATTTTCAGTGGCGGTATGGGAGACGATAATGGCGGGAGGGGGGGGGGGGACACATGTAGAAAAAATGGTAATGGATTTAGTTGTCTGACAATCCTGAGTCATTGCCACGCTATACACGAATTTTGTATATCGGAAATCTTGAAGAAAATAAAACTATAAACGATCTGAATTTTTTACGAAAAAAAAAATATTAGTGTTTGTAAGGTTCACTGAATAGACGCTGCTGATTACTGAATAGTTAGCCCTGTGTTGTGAACATGTAACTAGAGACATGGTCTGGACCAAAGTTTTTGTTACAATCGCTTGTTAGTTCGTTTTTGTGCAGACCACTGAAAAGTGAAAAAATATATATCGAATTTTCATTCAAGAAAAACGTGAGAACAAGTTTTGTTTGCAATGCTGGGAAATTCCCTTCCCAGCAGGATGCCTTGAATATCATCACAGCATGGGCTGATTAGTTAAAAACAAATGCCACAGATGATGCTTCATTTTGATCGACGTTAAAGTTTGTTAAAAACCGAGGTTACAGAGATTTCAATTGGAAGTATTTGTTTCATTTTTCGCTGTATTCGGTCGCTCTTTAAGATGTTGTAGAATATAAACTATTCAAGGTAGGGAATTCATAAATAATTTTGTGTGGTTGGCATATTTGTGCGAGGCATTGTCTCGTATGCTGTAATCATTGAATTCTAACGCTGCGCTGATTTTAGCCACAACGAATTTATTTCAGCGACTGAAGCAGTGTTTATTTTAGCCAATTTAAGACCAAAATTTTACCTAGAATTAAATTAGAATAGACAGCGCAGAAGGCGACTTTAGATGGCCACATAGAGAGTGGCATGCATGTATATTGATTTATATATATATATATATATATATATATATATATATATATATATATATATATATATATATATATATATATATATATATATATATATATATATATATATTACTGTCGTTGTCAAAAAGGTTGTCCTGAGCAAGTATATGTATATATCGATCACGTGACATTATTATGCATCAACACGCGTGGGATTGTACAAGCGTGTTAATTGCGAGTTCGACGAGTATAGCAAGGTGAACGATTAGAAAATGCCAAGACCATATTCGGATGATTTAAGCTGGAGAATGGTTTATCAACGACTGTTTTACGAAAGAATCATCGACGAAATTTCAGCACAGCTATTTGTTTGTTCAAAAACCGTCTATCGTACTCTCAGCACCTTTTGAAACACGGGTGATGTGAAGCCTTGCCGTATGGGTCGCCCAACAGCGAGCGTATCTTTATTCCCACACGAAGAATATGTTATCATGGACTGTTTACTGCGAACGCCGCAAATACAGTTGAATGAGATAGCAAGCTATATCATTAATGCTACTGGCTCTGCATTTGGCCCGGAGACACTGTGCCGAGCTCTCTATAGGCTTGGAATAACACGCAAAAAGGTACGAACATTATGACATTATTTAAGTTGGAATATATACTTAATACCGTATGCTCGAAATCATATAACTATATTAATAAGAAGCAAACCATTCCACCTTTTTTCAATTTATTACAAGATTCTAGTTGTTCTTTATCAACTCTTCAAGCCAGATTTTCTTTTTCAGATGCAGAGAATTGCCCTTCAGCGAAGAAACAATATTAAGCTACAATTCATGGCCGAAATCAGCCTTTTTGACCCAAACCTGCTTGTTTTCCTCGATGAAACAGGCCTTGTATGTACTAAATAATACCTTACTGTAACTGGATTGCACAATCTAGTAGATCTTTTATTTATTTGGTTCTACGTTTTAAGGATGAACGAATTGCTCGGCAATATGGATATAGTGCTCGTGGGATACCGCCTGTTGCATTGTGAGCGACTATAGCTATGCACGGTGGACACCGCGCTATTCCATTATTTCGGCAATATCGTGTGATGGACTTTTTGCGAACCGTTTGTTAAAGAATCCTAAAGAAAGATTTGAAACACGCTCCTTTATCCATTTCCTTGACGAACAGCTTTTACCAGCTATGAATCGATTTGATGGGGAAAACCCGCGATCCGTTCTCGTTATGGTTGAGATTTGAATATAATTAATGCAAATTCGCTGTTTTAACATATGTCTCAAGGGATGACTGAATTTGTGATCATGTTTTGATCTATTAATATCTGTTTAAACAAAACTTGTTGATGCACAAAGATGCAACTGCTAAAACTAATACTATGCATATTTGTTAACAGATAACCACCCAACACATCATGTTCAAGAAGTTGTAGAACGAGTGTACGAAAGTCCTGATTTGAATCCTTCGAAGAGGTTTACATATAGCTTGCTATCTCATTCAACTATATTTGCGGCGTTCGCAGTAAACAGTCCATGATAATATATTCTTCGTGTGGGAATAAAAATACGCTCGCTGTTGGGCGACCCATACGGCAAGGCTTCACATCACCCGTGTTCCAAAAGGTGCTGAGAGTACGATAGACGGTTTTTGAACAAACAAATAGCTGTGCTGCAATTTCGTCGATGATTCTTTCGTAAAACAGTCGTTGATAAACCATTCTCCAGCTTAAATCATCCGAATATGGTCTTGGCATTTTCTAATCGTTCACCTTGCTTTACTCGAACTCGCAATTAACACGCTTGTACAATCCCACGCGTGTTGATGCATAATAATGTCACGTGATCGATATATACATATACTTGCTCAGGACAACCTTTTTGACAACGACAGTATATATATATATATATATATATGAATGTACCCAACATTTAAGGACGACTTTGTTCTAAGCCAATCAAGCAATTGATGGCATTTTCACTCTTAACTAATAAGGATTGCCCGAGATGTAGAAAATCAGTATTGCCACTATCTCACGTCTATATGTACAGGGACGCCGCGTATATATTCATACATTCGTGCTGACATACCGTATAAATAAATCATGCAGTCGGGCATATAAAGAATATATGAAATTAAAGCCCTCAAAAGAACAAAATGTCTTTGTTTTCATCTCATTAATCTAAAACTAAACTACGGATAGAATGCGTTTAAATCTAAAAATTCAGAAATTAAACCTGATTTTATTGAGTTGCATGAAGTTGCGCTATATTTATCCGAGGCTCCGAGCATGGTTTAATTGAATTGTTTTATGTCACGGCTGTTCTAATGATAGAAAAATGCTATACTGTCAGACAGATTTACCTAGACAAATCAATCACGCGAAGATAATATCATGATAGTGTTCGCGATAATCCCAGCCGCTAGTGTTAAGATTTTACTTTGCTCCAGATACGTTTCTGATTAGTCTACCAACTAAAAACTATGATTTTTATTCGTAGAGTGAAGGTGTGCCGACAACACTAGTTTTTGACTGAATCCGAGGAGGAGTAATATGTTATCTCGCAAAGGAAAGCACCATGACTTCAAGCTTTAAAAAATATGGATGATATCGCGGCGTCAAAAAATAAGCAACCCAACCCTGTTGGCGATAAACAAAAAGAAATAAAAGAGGAACTCGAAAAAATTATTGAGAGAGTGGATGGTGATCATGGTAAGAATTATGGAAAATTTCTCAAAATATACCGTGGTGCAGATAGACGTATACTTGGAAGAATGTACCGAGCAATGGAACCTACATTTCTCTTTACATCCTCCAATTTAATTAGTTAGTTTGTCCACAAACACGATGGAAAGGGGAGCGCAACAGCTTATACACCAATTACTACACAGGGTAACTTAATGACTAAGATTATAATCATACTAATCATCTTAACCATCTTATTCATCTTAATCACCTAATTATTATTTAAAATCTTAATATTCAATTCATGCAATAAAATAGGGAATTTACTCCATTATAGGCAATTTACTCTCGCCAATTACATATTTCTTTTCAGTTCTTTACGATTTTGCGATCTTTACGATCGCACTCGAAACCTATATATTTTCCTTTAACATTTTTAACATTTGCAACAGATGAATATCTAGATGAAAATGACGCCGATACCGATTTAAATAGCATGACGACAATCAGGCGGATTTTGCTGGGTGCTGCAGTAAAAGAAGGTGAGCTAAAAAAGGTAAAATATCTTGTTGAAAACGGCACCGGTGTAAATGAAAGGGATACTGACGGGTGGACAGTGCTGCACAGTGCTGTTACTAATGATGGGTTAGAAATTGTAAAATATCTTGTTGAAAAGGGCGCTGATGTAAATGGAAAGGATAATAACGGGTGGACAGTATTGGACTGGGCTGTTACAGAAGATACGCCAGAAGTTGTAGAATTTCTTGTCGAAAAGGGAGCTGATGTAAATGGAAAGGATAAGTACGGGTGGACAGTGCTGCACAATGCTGTTGCAAAAGATAGGCTAGGAATTGTACAATATCTTTTTGAAAACGGCGCAGATGTAAATAGGAAGGACACTAGCGGGTGTTCGGTGCTGCATGCTGCTGTTACTAAAAGTACGCTAGAAATGGTAAAATATCTTGTTGAGAACGGTGCTGATGTAAATGGACATGATAATGACGGGTGGTCAGTGCTGCACGCTGCTGTTACTGAAGGTACGCTAGAAATAGTCAACCATCTCATTGAAAACGGCGCCGATGTAAATGGCAAGGATATTTACGGGTGGACAGTACTGCACAGTGCTGTTACTAGAGGTACTTTAGAGAAAGCCAAATACCTCGTTAATGATAATGATGCTTGTGCAATAGAAATTGTCAAGTATTTAGTCGAAAAAGGTGCTGACATAACTTTGAACAGCAAAATCGGCACCAGTACTCTTGGATTTGACGTCCTGAAGATAGCTGTTGTAAATAATTCAGTTTTTTTGGTGAATCTTTTGTTGGAAAAGAACATTGCTGTGTGGAGAGCTGGAACATGGGCTGTTGAGGGAAGGAAAATGAATCTTCTTGAATGGAGCATTTGCCATGGTCATGATGAAATTGCAACTATCCTCAAAGGATCCGTAAGTCATCGTGAGAAAATTCAGAGGTTAAAAAGAATGAACTGTAACCAGTTAGAGAAGGTAACATTTCAAAAATATATGAAGTTATGTTAAATGAGTGTGAGTAAGTCACCAATGTTATTAGGTTTAATAGGGAGTTTACGATCTACGATGCTGCAGTTTAAAAACGAATTCCCATGGACATTCAACAGCAATTTATACTCGTCAGTGGCAAAATTAGCCTTACTCAGGATGAAGAATATCCGCCATATTTCGGATTCTTTTAATTTTCTTAAACAATGTGAAAAGTATTCTTTAGAGTACACCATCTGTAGAGTAAATTTTCCTCGTGACGAGATGTTACGCTCACATATTCGTCATCGCGTCATCGCCTAATTACGTCGCCAAACTGCGACTAAGCAATTAGATTTTGTTCGTCAAGCCCCGTCTGGCCAGGATGACGTAATAATTATATGGATCTTGATCAGAGTAATTTAAATTTAGAATATTTAATATTTACATGCGCAATAACCATCTAAATGCGAAAGCTGAGAGACAAAGTTATTTTGAAATATACAACATGCCTTTTGCTAACATACCAAACAAAGTATTGTATTAATTTTGGTTTTTGGTATAAAATTCTAGTTGCTAAAATTTGATGTCTTCCTTCATTTGTATTCGTTCTTGCCTTTTCCCTCCCATAATAATTTTTTTGTCGCATAGACTGAAGTACCGATGCAGGCTTTTGTCGCAAAGAATCAATTCAAAATTGGCGACGGTTGTGGTGGTTCACGTGTCTATGTTGGTCTCATGAGGGATGGAAGTGAAGTTGCTGTTAAGAGAATTTTAGTACAAAGTGAGGATGACACAGTTGAAAATGAAAAGGAAATCATGACTCTCATAGAGACGAGCAGATGTCCATTCATTGTAAACTATCGATATTTTCACCGTGGGGAAGACTTCATGTATCTTATTCTTGATCTTTGCGAAGAAACCTTGAGGGAACTTGTCCATGCATCCAGTATTGAACATCTACAAGAGCATGGTCCACGAATGATTTGGGAAATTCTATCAGGACTTGAATTTCTTCATGGTAAAGGAATATTGCACAGAGATTTAAAACCATCAAACGTCCTGGTTGATATCGCATGTCGCATGAAATTGGCAGACTTTGGAATAAGCCGCGTTCTTAAAGACGATGAAACAACAGTTAAAACATTTGCTGAAGGTACTCCTGGATGGGTGCCACCAGAAGTAATTGAAGCAATAGTGAAAAAAGAAAAGAGTCGTTTCAAAAAAAAATCAGATGTCCAGGTAGCGGGTATGATTGCTTTCTTCATCTTAACTAAAGGTGAACACCCTTTTGGATCTTCGTTAGATAGAATGAATAATATTTTAAAAGGAAACCCTGTCTATTTGAAAAAACTTGATGATCTCGAAGCTCAAAAGTTTGTGTCGTGGCTGATTAATCACAAGATCGATGATAGACCTTATGCTGACGAAGCATTGTGTGATTCTTTATTTAACGAGACAAATCCTACATTTTGAAGAATTATTACATTTATTTCCTAAACCTCTATGTGTATAAAAAAAATTGTGGACTTTGGCATCTCATACTCCTATGAACCGTTCTAAAAAGGCTTGAAGAACAATAAAATTTCAGCTTTGGAACCAACAATTGTTAAAGAGTATCCTCAGTTTAGGAATACTAAGATTTAATCAAAGTTATACCAAGCAAAGTGCAAATTCAAAATGATTGAAAAAATCCACTTTCCGGTGGATAGCGCTTTACGACATTCATACAACCGACCCTGTTGTTGAAGAGTTAATCGGAATTGATCGTAGCTAGTTATGAATTTGCGTAAAAACATAATTGCCTTGGTTTCTTTTTTCAAACGAAACATTTAACGACGTATTTTCTCCAGTACAGGGATATTTATTTCAAATCGTCCTCAGTGAATAAATAAAGAAATGAACTCAATTTCCATAGAACGCAAATAAGCCGCGCGCGCGAATAGTTCCTTTAAAGGTCGCAACAGACCGGACGCAATGCGGGAACACGACGCGAAAGTTGGGTTTTCAGAAGCATATAAATTAAATTCTGGAAGCAAAATTTGGAAACTATGGACGCCAGAGGAGTCAAAATGTTTTATTGTTATGTAATCTACAAGAATATTATTATGATACTTTAAAATTTATTTGATTTTGAAAAATTAAACACCTTGAAAATTCGCACCGCGTTGCCAACTCGCGCGTCCTGTCTGTGTGAGCCTTAAGGCGATTCTTGTTTTTTCAGGCCCATCACGGTCTCATGAGCAGATTTTCAAAGGCCGCTTTGCCGAGCGCATGAAGCGGACAAAATGCGGTGACCTTTATGCGGTACAAAACGCAATATAAAGACGAAATTTGTTGTAGATAATCTGTGTTGTTAATCAGAGAAAAACAAAAACGTTTTCAGGTTATGTAAAATTTTGCCGAGATAGAGCGCTTATATTTATGGAATTATAGCAGTATAAGCAGTTGCGCCACGTCTCTGGCTCCAGGTTTATTCTGTAACTGAAGCAGTTGAGCTGCAAACTGGAAATCGGATATGCCAGGCACAGACTACACTTGGTTTTGATAAAACGTATGACAAAGATTATTTTCTCGAATATATTTGTTTCGGTGTTGATGTTGTATGGAGACTCATTATTATGATGTAAAACATAAACCATTGAAGGTGGGTAAGTAGATTATAATCATACTAATTTCCTTCAGTTCGGCAGAACTCAGAAGCGACTAGAAATCATGTTATTATGAATGATCAAGACGCGTCGCATATTTTGCGCGTCGCATTCGTGTGAGGCATTTGTGCGTCGCGTGATTGCCATATACTACACGAATTTTATATCAGTGACTTAACAGCGTTAATGTTAGATAGATAGATAATTTATTAAAAGCACATTGCAGCTTAGAGCTGAATTAACCTCAGAGGTCTATAGTTTGGATTTGTAGTAGGAGTATTTTCATGTTAAATTAGGTTCAAACATGGCAAACATTTATAAACTAGACCTAGACGCCTGCTCTAGCGTAACTCCGGCGTTCGTGATACTTTGGTTAATTGCAAATCTTCTAGATCTAAACATAAATACTGCAGTTCATCTTCACTTAGAAGCGCAAGGAACCTAAATGTCGTTGAATATTGGGACAGCACAACGTATTTTAACAGTTATAGAAATTCCGTATCTAAACCAACCTCGTCCCCAGGGTCTTCTCTGTGGGCGGCGCGCGGTTCGGGGCAACGAAGGGAAGAGTCGAAGACCCTGTGAAACACGTAGGCCTGTGAAAGGATACCGGGTTTTTGCGGATACAAGACCACATATTTTGTTTATTCTATAGCCACGAAATACCTTATTTTTCTTCTTAAAGTCGTTAAACGTCTATTTTTACAGGTAGGTGTCGATAATCTCATATTTATTTAATTTTTAGTTCATATATGGCTTCGATTCACAGTACTGTCAGCAGCGAAGCGAGCTCGACTTTTAGTCAAAGTTCAATTATCATTATTGTCATTCAATTATATTGAATTATTATTAAAAGTCTATAATCTGAACTTACTCCTTACTTACATCATGTGTGCATTAGGCTACTGCCAGTAGTTGTGGGCCCTGCCCTGTGAGCACTACTCTGACTTATGTCATTATGCTCCCCTTTATAATTTGGTATTGTGGTATGATTAGGGATATTGTGAATAAAGTAATATATTATGCTTTTATAGCAAATCGGCTAAATTTTTAAACCAAATTTATTTGGGTTTGTCATAAATTATGTCTCTTGATTGTGGTATATATAATATAAATGGTATTCATTCTGCATTTCTTTTTAGGTTTAAAAAAGTTCAACATCCACAGCCGAGAAAGTTTAGTTTTGCGGTAGAAAATTTCTTCTTAGAACTTTAGTTTGATGGAACTTTGTTAAGAAAAAAAATATCTGAGGGAAATAACTGAACGTGGAAGACTTGTTATCCTAGATATTCTAGTTGATATAATTCATTGAAGCTGTTTAACCATGCAGTTACATTGTTTTGTGTTACATTGGTATTATGTTAATTGTCAAGTATTTCCACGAAGTTTTTCAACTCATGTCTAGTCACTCCTCCATATTGATTATTTTCATGTTGTTACAGCTTTCAGGTTAATTGAACAATAACAACAGGAACTTTTTAGTTAATTGGTTTTTAGTTAATGACGCGGTAACTCAGACTAGTCCCTAGTCCTCCTTAGCGCGTCTTGCATTCTTGTGACGTCACCTGTTTGAACGCGCGGGAGAGGACTAGCACAAAATGTTTTGAATTCTTACAGCGGATTCCGTTTGACAAAACAACAAGCGTTTGCAACGACATTTGAAATGTCACATGCACTGTTTCCAAGGAATGGGCGAATTGTGCTTTGCCATAGTTGCAGTGTTGTTGAAAGAAAGTGCTTTAAAAAAGTGACTGTAGGATCGCCCTTTCGTATTAACTTTCCACATTTTAAAATACCGCAAGCGTTTCGAATATGTTTACATGCAAGATTGCGCTAAAACCGTGGGACATTTCAAAATTCAAACGTCATATTCAAAACGACGCAACATGCGTTGCGAACGCTTGTTATTTTGCAGTGAACCGGAATTCAAAATGGCGTAAAATTAGTCGAATTATTGATCCTCGTATCAGCTCATATCGTCATGCAGCTTGTTGAAAAAAATGTGAAAAGTTTGATCATTGGAGACGAGGCAACGGGTAATTTTTTTATACATCTTGTATAGAAATTATCCTATGCATGTATTATAATTTGTATGCTTGCATAAGCGCAATGCAAATTCCACAGATGCATAGACATCAGCTTATTGAAGTAATAATAACTCCTATTATTATACATTTCGTGTGCATTGTCGTTCCTGATTAGTCTAAAAGCACCGGTTAATTCTCAATATTCTGTATTTATTCCTTTAATAAGGAATCTCTGGGTCTCTCCTTAAAGAAAATGCTAGACCTCTCCTTTATGAAACAACTGTGTTTCTCCTTTAGGAAAAGGCTGGGCTTCTTCCTTGTAGGAAAGGGTTAGGTTATTGCCATTAATTACGATGTTTGTTCAATGGCTGGTTTAAGTATAGAAATCGGTTCAAATAACGCTTCGAAATTAAATTACATTTAGATAACATTCATTGGTACAAGTACTCATTTTTACATTTCTAACGTTTATAATAGAAATTGACAAGAAACAAGAAAGTGGGGAGTATTGGTGTTTGCAAACAAGATCCGAAACATTTTCAGGACGACGGAATAGCTTTTATTTCAGAGTCCAATGCAGTCTCCATCATTAGTTATAGTGAAATTTTTGGTTAAATACTGTGGTGCTGACATTAGTTGCAAGGATGAGTTGGGGAAAACCGCTTTACATCATGCTGTTGGTGTTGGCGTAACAGAAATTGTCAAATATTTTGTTGAACAATGTGGCGCTGATGTAAATGGAATGGATAAAGGAGGGTGGACAACGCTGAACTATGCTGTCACTACAGGTATGCTGGAAATGGTAGAATATCTTGTTGAACAAGGTGCTGATGTAAATGGCAAGGATACTGACGGGTGGACAGTGCTGCACTCTGCCGTTAAAAAAGGTGCTCTAGAAATTGTTAAACCACTCGTTGAACATGGCGCTGATGTAAATGGAAGGGATACTAAATACGGTATGACTGTGCTGCACTACGCTGTTTATAAAAGTAATCTTGAAATGATAAAATATCTTGCTGAAAATGGCGCTGATATAAATTGCAAGAGTTATAACGGGTGGACAGTGCTGCACTATGCAATTACGAAAGAAGCGCCAGGAATGGTAAGATATCTTGTTGAACATGGCGCTGATGTAAATGGCAAGGATGCTAACGGGTTGACAGTGCTGCAGTGTGCTGTTACTAAAGGTACGCTAGAAATGGTAAAATATTTTGTTGAACATGGCGCTCATGTAAATGGCAAGAATTATAACGGGTGGACAGTACTGCACTATGCAGTTACGAAAGGAACGCCAGAAATGGTAAGATATCTTGTTGAACATGACGCTGAAGTAGATGCCAAGGATTCTAACGGGCGGACGGTGCTGCGTTCTGCTGTAGATGCTGGTGCATTAGACATTGTAAAGTGTTTAGTTGAAAAGGGAGCTCTCATAACTCTTGAAAGTGAAACTCTTGGCATTAAGATTCTGAAGATGGCTGTTGTACAAAACTCGATTGCTTTGTTCAATCTTTTGTTGGAAAAGAACATTGCTGTGTGGAGAGCTGGAACATGTCTTGTTGAAGGAAGGCAAACGGGTCTTCTTGAATGGAGTATTCACCATGGTCAGGATGAAATTGCATCGATCCTCAAAAGGTCCGTAAAACATCGTAAGAACATTCAAATGTTGGAAGCAATGAATTGTAACCAGTTAGGAGAGGTAAAACTTGAAAAATATTTTAAACATATATGAGGTTGCTTTAATGACCGTGCCAGTAACCAAAATTACTATGAAGTTTACGATCTACGACTCGGTAGCTCGATAACACATGCACATTTGGATTCTGTTGGTAATGTGTAGCATCTTTAATGGTTTGTAGCGAACTCCTACTCGCTACAAGACTGTGACTGCACAATTAAGTTTCGTCCACGTTTAGTCAGGCTTGCGTTTTGTAGCTACAAAGTCTTGGGAAAAACCGCTGAATATAGCACGTGAGCACCTACAAATACGATACTTTTTATGTGTACAAGCCGAAGTCTCTTTTCTTCACTGGTGTAACGTTTAACGTAGGTTGGCGATTACTTATCACACGCCATATTATAACAGCGCGCAAGAAAAAAGTCGTATTACTCAGCTATTATCCTTCCTATATTACTAAGCAAGTTTTTCGCGTAAAAATATTTGTTTGTGTGAATGTGAACTCACCATTGTTACGAACACCAGATACACCCAATGATGGAAAATAGACTACATTTAGTTGTAACACGATTTGTCGTGTAATCATATTCACAATAGCATGTGATTGTTCTGTTTCAAAAAGACTTATTTCAATACTTCAAAACCATTTTACGCTTCGTTAAATCTCGGTAACCAGGCTCATGTGAGCAAACGCTAAAGAGCGACAAAAGGTTTTGCATATAGTCATATTGAGAACAATACAATAGAACAATAGGAAAATTTAATAAGCCAATCAATTCCTTTTGTTCAGGGTAAAACCCTAATTAATAAAATTTTTCGTTAATTCTCGCGTTCTTAATGTTTCTTAGAAAAAAATATTCACGATCCATTATGTTTTTCTGCTAAAATATTATGTTTATATAGTACCTGAAATTTATTGATTTATTGTCCTCATTTATTTAAACACTCTAATTAAATGTTTTCTGGATCTTGCTTTTTATTTCTCACCGTAGAAAATTTATGTTGTTTCTCTCAGACTGAAATACCGATGCAGGCTTTTGTCGCAGATAACCAATTCAAAATTGGCGATGGTTGTGGTGGTTCACGTGTCTATGTTGGTGTCATGAAAGATGGAAGTGAAGTTGCTGTTAAGAGAACTTTAGTACAAAGTGAGGATAAAACAGTTGAAAACGAAAAGGAAATCATGAGTCTCATAGAAACGAGCCGATGTCCATTCATTGTGAACTATCGACATTTTCACCGTGGGGACGACTTCATGTATCTTATTCTTGATCTATGCGAAGAAACCTTGATGGAACTTGTTGATGCATGCAGTATTGAACATCTTCAAGAGCATGGTCCACGAATGATTAAGGAAATTCTATCAGGACTTGAATTTCTTCATGATAAAGGAATATTGCACAGGGATTTAAAACCATCAAACGTCCTTGTTGACATCGAAGGCCGCATGAAATTGGCAGACTTTGGAATAAGTCGTGTCCTAGAAGACGACGAAACGACAGTTGAAACAGATCCCAAAGGTACTCACGGATGGATGCCACCAGAAGTAATTGAAGCAATAGTGAAAAAAGAAAAGAGTCGTTTCAAAAAGAAATCAGATGTCCAGGTAGCGGGTATGATTGCTTTCTTCATCTTAACTAAAGGTGAACACCCTTTTGGATCTAGATTAGATCGAATGAAAAATATTTTAGAGCATAATCCTGTCAATTTGGAGAAACTTGGTGTTTTCGAAGCTCGCAGGTTTGTGTCTTGGCTGATAAATCACAAGATTGGTGATAGACCTCGCGCTGACGAAGCATTGATGGATTCTTTTTTATCAAGGAAAAGAAACATTGCGAGAACTATTCTGAAAAGTTAATTTGAATTAATTGTACATGTTTGCGTAACTAAGTATAATCACCTGGATTTCTTTTGGATTCAACAGGGACGTTTAATGAAGATTAGTCGCTATAAACTTTATAGTAGAGAAATTATAGGAACTTCTCCTTTTTGATACTTGCTTGTTTTAGAAATACATGCATGTAGCACCCTTCGCCATTTTCAACCAAGAAAATAATCTGCTGCGCCTAGATTAGCTGAGAATATAAGTTTATCACCGTGCGAGGGTACTAATTTAGTTCAGATATTTACACCCACGATATGCAAATGCGAAATCAAAGTTGCCCGCCATTATGCAATGGACCTCACGATATATAGTTTGTTCGAGATATTGTTTTTGACACGAGAACATTCGAGCGAATCGTGTAGTGTTCTTGGGACGGTTGTATAAAACTCTTAACTGCATTTAAGTAGCTAAATCGCAGTTAACTAAAAAATACGCGATTCTGATTGGCTAATTCTGCCACTAAGTATAGTTAGAAGTTAACTACCTTTTTATACAACCGGCTCCTGTTTATTATATGGACTAAATTAAGAGTGACAAAAGTAAATAAAGTGCGAAAGACCATTGTAAAAGCGAATAGTTTTAACATTATAGCCTAAACATTAAAGTAGAATAAATTTTACTGATCTAAAGATGTCTTTTAAGTGTTTTCGTTTGTATATCCAACGTTAGTTTTGTTTTATATAATACGCGGACCGGACATCCATATATTGTATTGTCTTGTGGTGTCATTATAGAGAGACATGGTCTGCAAACTCGCTTAAAGCTTTGTTTCATCCTTCCATGCATGCTGAAGACAAATATACCGAAAAAATCTGCACGCCAAAGACAAACATGACCTTGTCCTCCAAAAACGCCTTATATAACTACTTTTTGCTATTGGGGGAATCCCCGTTCCCGGCAAGCATCATCAGTTTCATGTAAGATTTTAATTGGTTGATAAAAATGATGAAATATGGAACGAAAATTACAAAGATATCTTCTCAAATTATTTAATTTTTTCTCGCTCTTTAGTATGTCATGGGCCTATAGTTTATACGTGGCATTTTGGACTCGTTAATGACAATTATGAGATGATAAACCTATCAAGGCAACTTATAAAGTCGCGCGTTTACACCAGCGGGTATTTTGCCAAACGAATTAATTATTTTGTTTTTGCTACATGAACCGATAACAAATTTGGAAGAGAACATTTAATAAGAACTTCACAAGCAATGTATTTAGCAATATAATTAATTTTGTCCTCTGAGCTTTAAACCAGGGATATATAAAACTTATTAAAACGACTTTTTTAAATTCAGCAGCCCGCTCGATCAAAGTAAATATGTTCCACCGCCCCTGGTCATTATTTTATTTACTATCTTTCTGTATACAGTTTTTATTTTTGTAAAACTTGTGCTGTCGCTATTATTAAATAATCCAAGTGGACAAGCGTTCAAGCCATGTATATTCTATTTAACTGTGGTGTGAGGTCGCTGGTGTGCAAAATGCTTTGCCCAGACTATCGGAAAGTAATACAATGGATCTCCGATTCTTATTAGCTAGTGTGAACCAGGCCTTACACTGATCAATAATTATGTAGCTTATGCATGTACATTCAAATTCATTTGACATTATGTAGACCCTAAAATTCTCTCGACTTCATGGACTACCCTGCATGCGCCCCCTCTTATTGAAGGCGGCAATTTTGAAACATCTCAGTTGCCATAGCAACGAATGCCAAGCAGAAGTTCTAAATAGATTTCGGCTTTAGGTATGTTGCCAGAAGGGTATATTAGTTTTAATCTTCTAGTCAAATTGTTAGATGCTGAATATCTCTGCATGTTTAAAATATGCATTTAAAATTTGGAGAAAATGTTGGGGGGCACTTTAAGTTAAAAACGAAACGTTACCAATGAATTTTTCAAAATTCGATTGTTTTTAATGACTTTGTTAAAATTTATATGTTGAGCTCCTATATTTATTCTAAGGATATAGTAAATAAAGACTTAGTTTTCATGGCGTTTTCTAAACGGTTAAAACGAATTAATGTGTTTTACTAAAAAAGGCTGAGAACTAGTTTCGTTTATCGTTTGCAGTGCGGGGAAATTCCGTTCCTGGTAGGCTGTCTTTCACATCCCAGCATGACTTGTGTTGATCAATTAACAACAAATATCATTGACGATACTTGATTTTAATCGACGTTTACGTTTCTTGGAAACAAAGATTATGAAATCTTTATTTTAAGTATTTGTATTATTTTTGATGCTGCATTCTTGCTCTTTAGGATGTTGCACGATATAAAGCAATAAAGGTAGGATATAATAAATACAAAATAAATAAATATCGTTGTATTATGACATATTTGTGCGAGGCATTGTGTTTTATGTTGTAATTATTTCATTCCAATTAACACTGGGCTGATTCATTGCCACAACACACGAATTTTATATCAGCGACTGAAGCAGATTCATTTTAACCCGAGAGAATTAAACTTTACCTAGAATTAACTTCGAATAGTCAGTCTTGTGGCCTAAATTAGGCGCCAAAATTATGAGAGTAGGCATATTTTTATATTTTGCCTTGTGTCTGCCGCTATAAGCCGATAATTATAGAAAAATCTTTGCATGCCAATCAACGAATTCGTTTGCATTTTTGCTGAAAACCACTAATAATGCATGTAATTGTAAAAATATGAACAAAGTTAGCGAGATTATTTATAAAAGGCTTATTTGATGTGTATATTCATGTACTGGTGTTCACATACCATAAAAACAATCGCCTTTCAACGAAATCAGTCGAGCACAAGACGAATATATGATGATACACCGCTCAAATAAAGCATCTCACGACAGCCAATTGTTTTGGGGAATTAAGAGCTTTATTTTAACTTTATTTTAATTGAAAGCTAGAACATTATGTTTGGAAACGTCTAAATATTCACCGTTAGCAATGTTTTCAACACGGAAGTATGAATGATTAGAATATTTCCGTGTGTGCATGGGGTGAAACCTGACCCTTTCATTTCCAGACTTGCGGAATAGCGGTTGCAAAAGTTTGATACGATTAATCTATAACTGGAACCGTTTATTCTCTTTGCCTTAAGGAGTTTGCCTTAAGGAGCGAGAGATGATATAATTAATCATGCGGTTGTCAACTGCGTTGTATTTTATAATCATAAGTCATAAGTCAATTTGAATATTAATATCAAAAGACAGTACTTTTTGGTTCACCCTGCTGGGCTTGTGTACAAATTTGCATGCCATATAAACTTCCTTTATATCCTTTCAGCCTGGTTTGAGCAAATTTTTCCTAGAAACTAAAATTTCGCATTTCAACTCTAAGGTTATGTATCAATGGCCTTTAGACGACCCCTTTACCAGAGAATACAAAAACTGTGGTATGAACTTTTACTTTCAAAATTTTTGGTTATACAAGAATAAGATTCAAGTTTGCTTTTTAGATAGCGGTGAGCACGTGCCGTTTGGGATAAAATCATAATTGTTTTACAGCAAATATATACAGCTGTTTTACTCACAAATGAAGAATCTGAAGTAGCTGATGTTATCTTGCCCCATGCAGCCAGCGGACGGCGACATGATCACAAGCTTTACATAAACATGGATAATATCACCTGGATTAAAAATAATCATTCCAGGCCTGTTATTATCAAAAAAGGAAGAGCCAAGGAGAAATCTCAAGTAAAAAACATTCAAAACGAAGAATGTGATGATGGTAAGTGTATGCATGTATGCATATAATTTTAAAAAAATATAAGGCCTAGGAAAGATAGCAGAAACGAGTACATACATGGATACCGTCGTCGAAGACGATGCAAAGACTTTCTAGAATTTTCTATTCAACCCAGCACTGAGGAATTAACATTTGAATATATTAAAGCAAAAAAGTAATATTCGTGACATATACGTCGCATTTAAAAAATATGCGCATTTCTTGACATTACCCCAATATAGCTGAAAACACGCACTTTCTGACCAATCAGGGCTAACACTGCAAAGCTCAGCGCTGATCGGTTGAACTAAATGTTTCGTGCAAACACTGAAGTCTTAATTGAAAATATAGATTTTTTGCAAACAAAACCGTGATCACAAAACTCGAAGATTTTTTCATTGCTAATTTTAACACCATCGAAAATGCGTGTTTAACTCCCTGCCTTATGTTAAAAAGAGTGACCCCAAAAAGTTTTTCTTTAACCAATGTTTTTGTTAAACGCCTGTAATACAAAACTTAAAATCATAGCATCTACAACCAACTTTTCATAAGAGTGTCTGATTATAAATTTGACAATTTGTGGCACCGTCGGTGTGCTTAAAAACTGAAATGAATTATACCCTTGGCAATTTAAACAAAGAAAACGATTCCTGCATAGTGTTCCGCTTGATGAAAAATGTAAAAAACCGTCGTCTGAAAAGAGATACAGCCAGTAGGCGTTCGACACGTAAATTTATAGACAAATATTACGAAAAGCAACTCTCAAAAGACACATTCTGAAAAACAAAAGTTTAATATTTTGTAGAGCCCTTGTTCACAATAACGGCCGCCAAACGTTTGGGGTATGTTAAATAAGCTTGTTGAAAAATGTCTTTAGTTCTTTCATATTCGGAGGATTTCTTGCATTAACTAGCATTTCAACTAGTATGTGCCCAATTGGATTAAGGTCAGGTGATTGACTCGGCCATTCTAAAATTCTCACTCTTTTTTCTTGAAACCACTCCTTTGTTTTCACTGCTGTGTGTTTTGGATATAGTTTTCTTGTTGAAAGATCCAACCTCTTGGCAACTTAAGCCTATAATGCTCCCCCTGCGGCCCGTGCTTGATAACTTTCGTGTTTCGTGTTTCGTGTTTGGTGTTTCGCTGATCATATGCCGTTCTTTCTCGAAACCATGTCGTACACTGTTCCCCCCATGTAACGCAATTTTTGTCTTAACCGACAACAGGATTTTTTCCTCAAATCTAATACAGCTGAATACAGGGCACGCCTAATCTTCGTTTAACGCCATGAGTGTCTAATGCTTTTGAAATTTGCCTTCTTGTGATATCGTCAATAAATTGACGTGTGGAACACCTACTCCGTGTTTCTCTTTATAGAGGACAGTTTTTGAATACTTATTATATCTAATTTATATATAACGTCGATGGAGACACCGGAAATCATTTTCTTCATTAAAATTGCGCAATGTCACCTATGTGACCAATACTTTTGTACATTACTATAGTTGCACGCCATTTGGATGCATAAAGAAAATGATTGTCTAAGGCTAAAAAGGTAAAATTCCGGTCACCCGAGTTTTAACGAAGCATGAGATGATTTTAAGGTATCTAAAGTCTTTATGAAACGAAACAAGCACATGCTATGTCAAGAATAAGACGAATGTATAAATATGCGCCCCTCCCCGGCAATTAAGGTCTAGCTACAGCTCTGACTAGGCTATACTCACGAGGCTTGTTGCCCACCTAAAGAAAAGATTTTTATAACGGCTCAAGAGACCCCTCAAAATCAAATTGTCTCATTTTCATATTCTTAACGTTTATTATAGCAACTCATGAGGAGCAAGAAGCAAGTGGAAGTGGATGTGTCTGCGAATACGGTCCGAATCATTTTCAAAACCATCGCATAGCTTCTCGATCATTAGAAATTGTAAAGTATTTCGTTGAAAATTGTGGTGCCGATATACATTGTAAAGATGAGTTGGGCAAAACTGCTTTACATCATGCTGTTCATATTGGTGCAATAAACATTGTCAAATATTTAGTTGAACAACATGACGCTGATTTAAATATCAAGAATGAAAGGGGGTGGACAGTGTTGCATATTGCTGTTACTGAAGGTACGCTAGAAATGGTAAAATACCTTGTTGAGAAAGGCGCTGATGTAAATGGCAAGGATACTGACGGGTGTACTGCGCTGCGCAGTGCTGTAACTGAAGGTAAGCAAGAAATGGTAAATTATCTTGTTGAGAATCACGCCGATATAAATAACAAGGATACTAACGGATGGACAGTCCTGCACTATGCTGTTAGTGAAGGTACGCTAGGAATGGTGAAATATCTTGTTGATCATAGCGCTAATGTTAATGGAAAGAGTGCCCAAGGGTGGACAGTTATGCACTATGCGGTTACAGAAGGTACACGGAAATGGTAAAGTACTTGTTAAACATCACGCTGATATAAATGGTAAAAAAATAATGGATGTACAGTGCTTAACAGCGCTGTTAACGAAGTAAGGTTGAAATGGTGAAATATCTCGTTGAACTGGACTCTAATGAAGAGACAAGAGGATTGACGTAACTACCTCCCTCGAAGCTGCAGTTAGAGGTGGATTACTGGACATTGTCAAATATCTAGTTGAGAAGGGTGCTGATGTAAATGGAAAGGTTGTTGGTGGATTGTCTGTCTTGCACGCTGCTGTCAATGCTGATGAATTAAAAGTTGTCAAATATTTAGTTGAACAGGGTGCTGACATAACTCTGAAAACTGAAATCGACTTTCATACTCTTGGCATTAAGATCCTAAGGAGGGCTGTGGAAAAAAATTCAGTTGATTTGGTCAATATTTTGTTGGAAAAGAACATCGATGTGTGGAGAGCTGGAACACTTGAGCTGCATGAAAGACAAATGAGTCTTCTTGAGTGGAGTAATCACTTTCGTTACACTGAGATTGCAACTATCCTCGAAAAGTCTGCAAAACATCGTGTAAAAATTCAGATGTTGAAAACAAAGAATTGTAACCAGTTAGACAAGGTAAATGAAGAGAAAGGGTACATGCAATCTGTAATGTAAAATTTTCGAATCGCCATATTTCTTACAGTATCAGCAAAATAATTGCAATTGATGAACCAGGCGGGAATTCTAATCGTAATATAAATGTAATAGAGGCTATAATATTTGTATCAGCAAAAGTTTGAATATTTATATTTAACACTATATTAATTCGCTATAATACTAAATGAATATGAGCTGCAGTTTACGTTCATAGCAAACATGCTAAACTTCAAAAATTTTAAATCAAGCAGCCTACTCATTGTTATGAGCGAACCGATGCGCAGAAACCACTGTTACCCCATTTGTAAAATATTTCGAACATATACGAGGCGATTTTCATGAGTTTGCGCATGGTCGCGCTAGAAGCTTAATTGGGGGATGTATATTTGTATATTCGTCTGTACGTCGTATACACAATTGTTCCTATGATACATAAACATGAATATATAAGAACATACACATCCCGCCTCAATTTAGCCCATTGATCATCTAACAAACCGTGGCTTGTTCAAATTATGTCTCCCTGCCAAAATATAACGCAAAAGCTGTTTTAAAATGAGATTTATAATAGCAGAAAATATTTTACTTTTTGCCTCTATTTTCACACGCCTCGATATTTTTCTTCTTCTGATCATGGATAATTTTTTGGCGTTTTTGCAATAGATTGAAATACCGATGCAGGCGTTTGACGCAAAAAAAGAATTCAAAATTGGCGATGGTGGTTATTCTAATGTCTATGTTGGTCTCATGAAAGATGGAAGTGAAGTTGCTGTAAAGAGAATTTGGGTGCAAAGTGAGGACAAAACAGTTGAAAACGAAGAGGAAATCATGAGACTTATTAATACTGACAACTCTCCGTTTATAGTGAAATATCGACATTTTCACCGTGACGTTACCTTCATGTATCTTATTGTTGATCTTTGCGAAGAAACCTTGAGGGAACTTGTTGACGCATGCAGTATTGCACATCTACAAGAACATGGTCCACGAATGATTAGGGAAATTCTATCAGGACTTGAATTTCTTCATGGTAAAGGAATATTGCACAGAGATTTAAAACCATCAAACGTCCTGGTTGATATCGAAGGACGCATGAAATTAGCGGACTTTGGAATAAGCCGCGTTTTAAATGACGATGAAACGACAGTTCGAACCTTTGTTAAAGGTACTCTCGGATGGATGCCACCGGAAGTAATCAAGGCAATAGACAAAAACGAAAAGGGTCCTTTCAAAAGGAAATCAGATGTCCATGTCGCAGGTATGATTGCTTTCTTCATCTTAACTAAAGGTGAACACCCTTTTGGTTCCAAGTTAGATCGGATGAGAAATATCTTAGACGGAAAAACTGTCAATTTCGATAAACTTGGTCCTGGTAGAGCTAGAAGCTTTGTGTCGTGGCTGATTAATCACGAAATTGATGATAGACCTTATGCACACGAAGCACTAGAATGTTCTTTTTTAAATCAAAACAGACCAAATGAGGATCAGCGGTCAGTAAGGGCTTCTTGTGTAGAGAGAGCTTTTGCATTCTGAACCTTTGCGCAAACAAAAAGAATTTTGTGGACTTAGGCATCTCATACATATGTATTCCTTAATATGCACTTAGGCATCTCATATTCCGTAATAATTAAGTAATAAACGTTTTGGTAAAAAATTAATGAATTTCTGAATGAATTTAACGGAATTTCAATGCCAGATTTGATATAACGTACAGGGCTAATAACGAGAATCTAGTACAACTTTTTGAACTTTTTGTCGCTTCGGCAACCTCTTTGTCACTGATAGTCATCGACATCTTTGATAAAGAAATATTAACGTGTATTGCCAAACATAAAAGGGCAAGAAAAATTTAATTCGGCAGGTGTGAATAAACGCTAGGAAACAAAGAAATCAGCTATCTTCGAAGATTGCTCCTTGAATTTTTTTCCTTTCTTTGGTTGTTTCCTTCATAGCCCAAGTTATACATTATCAATCTAAAGGATGAACCAGGTTATTTTTCACAACTTTAATTGATTCTCGGCTTAAGCTTAGTCTGTTCCCATAAACTAGCATAGCAAAGAAATATACACGTAATGTCTCTTGGATACTAAAGGTGCTAATCATTTTTAGGGCTTCCAATTTGTAAAGAGTGTTCGTATAACGCGAAGAAAACGTTAGCAGATATCGATCGTAAGAAATGTTCGCACTTGTCTAATTTAGATACCTCAGCAGTAGAATTACATTGCAAGTTGCATGCAAGGAAAGCTGCAAAGTGAAACACTACCTTCACTTGTTTTATGACGTTTTAATATTGTAATCTGTATTAAATTTACGTAATATAATAAAAAATTAGGAGCCTTTATATAAAATGACTTCATAACTATAAGCCTTCTGAATTCTGATGGAATATGCATCCAAAGAAGAATTTGCAGTTGCAAATGTCACACACATGCAACTGCAACAAAACCAGTTGCCACGTTGGAGCAACGCTGGTTTAAAAGCCACGCGCGTTTTTTAGATTTTGTCCTTTTATAGGAAAGCAACTTAAACCGATTTTACAGGACGAATTATATTTTTTTTCCTTTTCTCCTTTTCCTATTCTACTAAGAAAGTTCTCCTGAGTAAAATAAATCAGAGTTGTATGAATTTTATGTCACCATAGTCACGAAATACGAACCCATCATACAAACCCATGCAAACATGGGAAATTGACGATTTTACACCACCAAAAGCACAATTTGGGGGTGTTAAAATAGCACATTCAAAATAACAGTGTATTAATTAAAGGACATCAATTAACGTTAGTTGGATAGTGTATTGGTAGTGCATACAAATTTTCAACACCAATTTTATTATTAACCCTGATATGTACTAATCTTGCTTAATCGCATGATTAATTTGCATTGTAATCAGAATTGCAAGGGCGTATTTTATTATTCCCGTCTAAATGGCATGCATGTTATGATAAACAAAGTTCTTGTATGTTGATTTAAGAAGCCAGAACTTAATTGCGACTTTAAAGCATCGAAGCACTTGGAACATCGGAAGAACATCGGAAGAACTTGTAGTTTCTCCTTAGATTATATCTATATCGGATATTCTTGTAGCTATATGTTTACATGGTGACAGTCGATGAGTAATTTAGCTTGTAGGTACACCACGTAAGTAGGTCGTGGACCGGTGGTTGCAGTATTAAATACTTACATGGTGTTACCTATGTACAAGCTAAGTTGTAGATACACCATTGCTATATCTATATGCTTGTAAACATTTTGTGTTAAACATTTATCATTACTCCACGCACGGGCACGACCCTAACTTGTATAAAGATCATAGCTAGTTTGTGTTTAGCAATGATCGTACGAACATGTTTAAATCTTGCTTATGAAAGCTATAATGTTAATATAAAATGTTCATTGACGTACAGTACCAAGTTAGTGTTCTGTGTTTGACTTATTCACTCGTGTGCGACGTGTCGATCACATGTTTAAACGGTGAAATGCCAAAGTCCACAAGTATTTAGTATATATTCTTACCTCAAACTTGGCACGGAAGCTCTTCATAACTCAAATAAGGCTACGGTGTGAAGTTGCTGTACCATACGATTCAAATCAAATTAAAATAGTCGGAAAAATGATCCAAAATTTGATAAGTGAGCCACAACCATTACGGGACAGTTATAACGTGAATGCCATCGTGTTTAGTTGTATATGGTTTGCAGGCAAGTCCTGGGTACCATTAGCCTATGGCTTTCGACCTTGACTTAAAAATATGTTAATTAAATGATTGCTATTGGTTTATATGTGCAAAATACAATAAACATGTGACGAGAAAAGAACAATTTTTGCATAAATCTACCTCAACATATTTAATGAGTTGTATTGTGGTTTTATGTTGTCTCCACACCATGTATATTCTATTAACTGTGATTTGTATAACAACACAGAAGACGTTTGATCCCTAGAATTTGAGGGTTGTAATCGTATTTTAGCGGCAAAATTGTCTAAATAAAGTTGGGTGCGCAAATAAAGAAGAACTGACTAAAATCTTTGTTTCACAGTACGCTCAATGATTCGAAGCAATTTCACTTGTCTGACTTAAGCAGCGTTTACACTTCAGGTCCGGACCTGGCCTCATGGACAATGTTCACACTGTCTTCCTTGTTGCTGATATCGGATAGTCAAAATACTTGGAAAAATGCTCCGAAAAGTGGTAATACTATATGTATCCTATACAAATCATACTATTAAGTTAAAAACTTGTCAGGATTAGGTAAAACCTGTTCACATTACCAAAATCTTGCCCCAGGTTAGGTCCAGGCCACCTTCTGCTGTTGGCCAGGATTTTGCGGCCTAGACCAGGTCAGGCCTGGTCTAGGCTGGATGAACAACGTTCACATCTAGGCCTAGGCCTAGTCCAGGCCAGGTCAAAGCACGTAGTGTAAACGTGGCTTAAATCAACGCTATATAGAAATTTTTGGAGATCCTGTTAAAAAACTCGTAATTGGCAGAAGATTACTTGCTAATGTAAAAGAACCTTTCAGTCATGCATTTTACTCGAAAAAAAGCTTAAGTTCGGTTACCCTCATTTTTTATTTTAGAAAACGTTTTCTTATAAAATTAGAAATTTTGAACAGTTTAATAATATTATTCTGTCTGCTCAAAAAATATAATAAAATAATAACTGCATTTCCCGTACTACGCAGATGTAAATAACTATATGTTAGAATGAAGAGTTTTTGAAACACTCTAAGATAACCGGCATTAATCTGTCTGTACTGAAATACAACAGGACTGGTTTTTACCGCATACAGAAAAGCGCCCTTATTTTTAAATTTTGCGTTATCTTACATTCCATGACTTTTCTTACGTTTAGACTTGACGACTCTTCACTAATTTACATCTCTTAAAAGTAGAAATACATTCCAAGTTGCAAGACAAATTGCACTATGTAACAGCGCCTCCCAGGAACCACGCGACATTTAGCGCCGCTGACCCGCAGGCTACATGCCGTGAATATTTATCTCTCGTAGCATTTGACAATAAGCGCAGTAAATACAACAAAATACAGTCCAGAAGTCATCACTTTGTCCCCCTATGAAGCGAGAAAATAGAAAATTAATGAATAAATATTGGAAATTTTTAGACGTCGCGAATTCTATAACCACTATAGCTTACAGGCCCGTTTACACATACAATTATTGGTGCGATTTTCTTCTTTTAGTAGATGTGAACGAGTGACTAGTTACGAATGCGCTAATGTAAAAGAGCTCTTATTTGAACATGTGAATGAACATGTGTAATGATTCACTCGTTCACATCAATCAAAAGTCGCAACAAAAATTGCAAATGTATAAACGGGTCTTATACTTGTACGAGCAATATGGCATGACTATTTGTCCATTATTAAGGTGTATCAGAAAATTTGTTTACATTTTCAGTATCCCATGCACTCTGAATACTTTTTTATTATCTTTCTATACCCAGTATATTGACGTTATCATCATCATATTTCGTTTAACGCTCTGCAAAACAATTATGCTTTTGTTCGACGAAAAGCACTCCTTCCTCAAGTTCTGCACGACTGCATGAGACCTTGCTCCCTTACTGTTAAGCTCATACCTTAATGTTGTGCCTTTTCCTGATCATTCTACGCAGTTTATCAGCAAAACAAAACGTGTAGCAGCAACTGACCCCAGCAGCATCAGCGATCTGATACTCAATGACCGGAACACAACAGCAAAAAAGCAGACACGAACAGGCACTGGCGATGCCTAAAACCACAATCAAATGTAAATAAATAGTTTAAATTTCTTTGCTATGAAAGGGGCCGAACCATCGCGAAACCTAACGATATTCGTATTCTTGCTTTTAATGGACGGCTTGGATTCTTAGGGTCAACTTAAATCGAGAAAATAAATCTAGGTCAATTAAGTCACGTGATTAAGTATACACAACATTAGTTGGCTTTCTCAAAAATATAAAAAATATATAAAAAAAACAAAATAGGGATTTTAATGCCATATTCCCTCTAATTTACTTTGCAAAAATTTACTTTGTTCAACATGTAGTAAACATATATATATATATATATATATATATATATATATATATATAATATATATTATATATATATATATATATTAAACAATTATTGAATGAGGTTGAGCAGGATATGAGGAATTATTAAGGCCGAGGTTTGTGTTATCTGCCGAAGCCGAAGGCTGAGGCGGATAACACAAACCGAGGCCTTGATAATTCCTCATATCCTGCGAGAACCGAATTCAATAATTGTTTTATTATTTATTTGCAAAAATTTTGGGCTTAGACTAAACGCTTGCGTTGTAGACATTTTTAGACATTCGTATTTTCCCGCTTTTAGGTTTTGGCACAAGCCGCATAAATTAGCGTGACGTCATACCGTGCAATAATTTTTTTCATATCTGACGAAGTGACGTCAAACGTGCAATAATTTTTTTCATATCCGACGAAGTGACGTCACTGTCCAAATTTGGGCAGCTGCCGAGCGGATATGACGATTTCGCCAACAGCTGCTGGCCAATCAAAACTCTTGACTCATTTTCAATAAATAATAAATATATATATATATATAGGCTGTCATTCGGTGTCATATCATATTATTATATTGTATGTTGGTCAATTCGTCTGACCAACATCGCGAATACCCCTTCCCTAGTTCCCTTAAAAACGCACACCGCCGTCGCCCTAAAGCTAATAGGGAGCTTTAGCAGTGACTACGAGTACGACTACGAGTACGAGATTCGTCATCCTCGCCCGTTGTTTGCTTATGCCATCAGCCAAAACTCGTAGTCGTTGGGCTTTTGAGTACGAGTTTTTTGGCAAATTTCGTACTCGAAAGTCCAACGACTACGAGTTTTGGCTGATGGCGTAAGCAAACAACGCACGAGAATGACGAATCTCGTACTCGTAGTCGTACTCGTAGTCACTGCTAAAGCTCCCTAATAGGGAGCTTTAGATTAAACTACGACTCCCGCTACCGCTACGAGATTCGCCATATTGACGTGATATTCGTGATACTTCGTACTGACTGAGACTCGTCGCTGATCTGACTACAGCATTTTAAGAAAACTTCGTCGTCCTCACTGCGTTATTTAAAAAGCAATAAAAGTTGACATTTCTCATTTTTTGCAGAAAATAATTTGAGAGAACTGTTTTTCATGACCGCGGCCTTTGATTATGTGCATTTTTGGAAATACTAGGCGTAAAATTTCCGACTTATTGTGTTTGCAGAGGTTTATGATGACAACACGAGGTGGCGTATGCATACAACGTTTGTTTGCGCCACATGCAGTGACGAATTTCGCAGCCGTAGCGGGAGCCGTAGTCAAATCTAAAGCTATAACCTATTTCTGACTGCCGGAAACTTATAAACTGCAAGCTTATGACTTACACACGCCAGTGTCATCACAGCAAGCACATAATTTAGTGCTCCATTCTCTTGGAATTTGAGCAGGTTGCTTTGTCACGACTGTAGCAATCGTGCCTTGCTTTTGTAGCGGTGTCCCAGCACCCTGATGGATATAAGCAAGCCTGGACTCATTGGGCTGGTGGAGGGGAATCGTGGCCTGTTCGAAGTCGACAGTCATAAAACGTTTTGGGAAGGCAGCCTTTACTGTAGGTTGGTGTTGTATTACAAACGTATCCTTGGGTTTTTGTTGGAGGGTAGCAGCTGGTGCACCCGTAAATCGACGAAGGTTGGACACCACTGCCTGTTCTGTATATGATGGTGGGGTGATTGTATTGGGGTAGTTGCTCGCCGTGTCCGCATTCGGCTTCATATTGAACTCCCCTGGATCTAATCCAGGGTGATACATTTTGAATATCTAAATATATTGAAAATAAGTAGCTATTAAGTATTAATGCGATTGCTTTTTAGAGGAAATACGTATCAGTATATTAATGTTTGACTTCACCTGTAGACTACAAAGACTAACTTGGGGATAATTACCGTAGAATAACCCAATTCAAATGGTACTATACTCGAAACTCCACCGTAATACTATATCGTCTATCCAATTTTGCAGATTTACTACACCTCCGTAATTTACAAGATGCGATTTAAGTAAATTAGCTTCTAGGTACATCACGTACGTATTCAATACTGCAAAACCTTCGGTCCGTTAACACGGGCCTTCATCAGTGCAATATCATTAGTGCAAGATACGATTTTGTACGGTTGCTTTTACTGGGGGTTTTAGTGGCCTAGAGAAAAGAGAAATGCCCAGACTTAACAGAATAAACACCATTCGATAGAGCTTCCAATCGAACATTGTTACTTTGCGCACTTCTCTTTTTTTCCTTTCAGACCGTACGTCATACCCCCGTTGTGTTGGATATAAATTTATGATAATAATAATTATTATGTAATCAATAACATTGATCTAAACTATGTGAATGCGAAAGAACGGCTTTTGAAAAGAAACAAACATTAATTGCGGAGGAGGAATATAGAACTTTAGAATTAGGAGACAAAGGAAGGCAACATTGCGTGCAATCGTTTGAAAATATTTCCATATAAACAAACTCGTTAATAATATATATCAAATCAATTTCTACCGCATGCATCTCTATACTGATTCTCTGTTTACTAACTTAGTGATGTAGCCGAGAGTTAGTGTGACCTGCTTGCGACAATTCATGTAAACTAAGCCGTTAAAGTGGATCGTTCTTTGCATGCGTAGCATTTCAATCAACAAACTGCCCTCATGCAATGGGCACGAGACTGTAGAATCACATAACATAAAAAAAAACTAAATAAAGTAAGACTGTTAGCACACGAAGTGCTTTGTCTTTTTAGGAAATTATTGGCAAAGCCACCATTTCCCAATTATAACGACCTTTAGTAATCGCCATGGCCAGCTTTTGTTCATGGAAGGTTCCTTGTCGAGGAAAGCTTATCAATTATAATTATATTAAGTGATAATGCTTTGACTCAGATGTATCAATTAATATTGTGATGATGTGACTCTGAACTACCAAAGGGGCAAGCTGAAAAATTAGCTTGACCATTGATTTTCGAACCCCTTGATTTCAATTTGAAACAAATTATCAATTGCTCAACATGTTGAATAATCATGATTGTAAATGAAGTCATGCACTTGTATATTGTCACTGAATTTAGATACATACGTCGCAAGTGTAAAGTGCAGAAGGTTGAAGTTGCTTTGTAAGCGAATTTCCCTTCGACGTATGTTAATCATCACATTGTCTGATTAGTTAAGCTTATACTTAACTAAGTTTGCTGCATGCGGACGAAATAAAAATTATAGTCTTGGAACTCGTTTATAATTGTTCTCAAGTCTATTTAACCTGACGTGCCAGCCGCTCATTTTCTATCAATCTCGTTTAAAAATGCAAAGCCTGCAAAATTAAGACGTTAAAATTCTCTCACCTGGCTGGTATATCGCGTATTCGTGGTAAAAAACAGTTGCAGTCTCTGGATCTTTGAAGGCGCTTCGTATAAATTTTATTATGGCGGTATTCCGCCTTCTTGTCTGCGCGTTCAAGTGTTTTAAATGATCCTTAATTCTTTAAAATGCAAGTTCTATTGAAATCAAGAATTGAAGCGTAAAATTGCTGGTGTTCAAGTTCGTCGGCTGTGCGCGCGAGAGAATCGAAGAGATGGAGAGAGAGGCATTCCGAGTTGCGTTTATATCATTTTCTAATTCAGGTTTATTGTTTATATAATTATCAGTAAATCGTGTAACTGATCTTTAAAGTGGGTCATCAAAGTTCTTAGGAATATTACGTAGTCGTAATGAGTTATTTGATAGTTTTATCAATTTAAACGTATCGAAGGCGCGAAGGTTATATATAACTGATATGTCTCTTTGAGTCTTTTAAATGTTGTGCTTGTCGCTACCGATGACTTGATCCGAGAAAATGCATGTACTGCTTTTACTGGCCCAAACTTACGCCGGAACATTGATATAGAATTGCCCGACTCTGGCAGTGAATTTTCATTTCGCGACGTAAGAACTTTTAGTTATCCATTCGTTATATTCGCCTGAATCTGCCTTACCTATATTTTCCGAATATATAGTTGTGCGGTAGTTGGCTTCCTCACATTTTGGAAGGCCCAACTCACCCGAGTTTATCAATTGAAGTTAAACCTGACAGTTATATTTTCCGATTCAAATAGCAGCAATTATATATATTGGCTAAAGTATAGTGTATAGAGACTTCTAAGGGGCACCCATTAAAATATGATTGAATTTGTATAAAGTCAGTGTTTTATTATTATACACAGAAGTGCAATATCAGTCATATGAAAGCGCTTTTTTAGCGTTGCGTTGATACCAGTTTTAATCGTGCTGGGAACTGGGATTATGTTAAAAATTCTCTTAAATGGAACAATAATTTTAGTGAAGAGCAGTTTGACGTAATCGTCAACAAAGAATTTGCATGGTATTAATTAATGCGCGCATGTGAGAGCATTGATTAAATTTATCCGTTCAAAACTGTGAGTTGTTTAATTATTGTTCATAGAATTACAAAGTCAGTGCACGAGGACTTTTTCTTTACAAACTTGTTTGTGGGCTGAGTTATACGTCGAAAAGGATGGAGATTACTGCCAAAAAGATTACGGCTTATAGGAATTGTGTTTTTGACCTGGCTATATTGGGACACAGGGCTGAACTAGACGATAAATGAGGGGTGAATTTTCATATAGACTGCCAGGCGGATCTTTTTTGAAAACGTATAAATCATACGTGCATACATAGAAATCCGTCAGGCAGAACAAATATATAAATATGCACCTTTTCCCCTCTCCCCAATTATCGAACCTTGTTTCGGGCCTATAGGGATAAATCAAATTCTACAAAATAAGGCTTTCTGGCTAGTTAAATTAAATGTTGAGAGTTTTCCGGGAGAATGATGGCAGAAATATACCATTTTAGGACTTTACCGAGAACTTTGGAAAAAGTTCAACTTACTTTTCCAACCACTGCGCGGGTATTATAACTATGGTAACCGATTAAATAGATACAGGGTATATTAAAAAAGGACACTAAATATTCATGATCGCGACTTTTTGTGTGTGAATAGAAAGCGACTAAGACGAATATTCTCATGAATTTTCTCATATTTAGCGTTGCGTTTTTTTATACACCTTGTATATAGGTTGGTGAAACATAATCAATTAATAAAGTAAATTAGCTTATATAGGTACACCACTACAATGCTAATTTACTTATATTATGCTATCACCGAGCAGAATTACAAGAATATCATGACAATAGATAAAGTTGATTTGAAAGGCAAATTATGGAATCATTTCTCCGTCTTAATATGGTGAATACGTAGTTCTGTGTAAAATGTTCCTGTAGTTCAGTGCGTCCATAAGTGTCTCATTTTGCCAGAAATGATATATAATTATACTTGTAAATGTCTTAACCTTTTTTACTCTTTAGTTTTTTAGATATGTATTATGCTAAATCCTCTTAAACGAATTGATTTCACAATTTTAATTGTCACTGATAACATTACAATGTGCACGTTTAACTGGTGGCTTGAGAAGTAAACTCAAAAGGCATTTATTGTATGTGGTTTTAAGCCCCACAAAGCCTCAGATTTGATAACGTGGGAATATTCAGTATGCCGTAGGAGACAGAAGTGGCGCGGAGCCAGATCAAAGTGACTCATGATTGATCATGCTGTGTCAGGGGGAATCTCCCTGCTCTCATACTGTGGACTCATATTATATTCTATTCACAATATTCTCGTGTATTTCCTAGTACATGCTATAGTAATGTTTGACAATAAATAATACAATTATTTAATTAATTAATGAGGCGGAATTTTTCCAGCTAACGATTTTGTGTCTCAATTTTCTTGAGAGGAATCGACCGTAGCAGTTCCCTTGACAGCTAGGCTACAATTGAGAAGAAAATCAGGCGAAAAGTGGAAACTATCCTGGTATTCAAAATGTCACACAGAGACGATTTATGTTTTCAAATTTCCCATTTACCGCGCACATGAATACGACAATAAACTCGCGTGCATGAATATATGATGTGTCGATTGTTATTACATGGGAAAGCTGTTGTGCATGATTATATGATATGTGTCGATTGTTACCACATGGGAAACTCAAAGCTGTTGTGCATGAATATATGATAAGTGTCGATTGTTATCACATGGGAAAGCTTGAAAATGTTGACACGTTCAAAATGAATATAGTTTATATAGACGTTTATAGACGTATATAGACGTCTGCATCGTTTTAAAAAATATCAAACTAAACCATTAATAAATTTAATATGATACGAACAATCCCAATTACGCTTTGACAATACTTAAAAGGGTAAAAGAAGTTATTATGAGGTATTTTAGTTTTGTAGAATTTTATAATACTTTTTGGTGTGAGTCCGTGACAGTTGTTTTAGCGTTTTTAACATTGAAAACCGAAAAAGTCGAATTTGAGATATTTAAAAAATTATAATATAACTAAATGAAAGTCATCGTAAACTTGGAGCGACTATACAGCATTTCTTGCTGGAAGACAATAAAGTTTAATTACGAATATATAATGCAATTATTATAATTTCATCAAGAACGACTGAAGCATCACCTCTATTATAGCTGCACTGTATCACCTCATTAAAATCAGCACGACTCTATGGGAACGTAGTACCCGTCAACATAATGACTAATGTTTATGTACATGTTGCACAAAAGAAAACTGGAGTGCTTTCAATTTCCAATTACCCGTATATTGCAGTAATTCTACCGCTTAACCCTTGTCATTAATTAATATTTGTATAATCAAAACACAAGGTTCTTATATAGGACTTAAAATTGCTCTATGAGCGTTTTAGAAATTTCAATACAATATAATTCTTAAAACGGCAACACGGACACAGCACGTGGGTTAACATGGCTTCCGCTTTTGTTTCGTAACTACAACAGAGTCCTTAAATTGGACAATGATTGGTCATGCTGTCCAGAAAAATTCATTGTATAGTAAATGATTTTTATATTCGTACTACGTAATGAATGGATAATGAGGTTAAACAGCTTTACTATAAGGCTTTGCACAGTCGGAACAAAATCATTCCTGCACAGGCAGCTGAAGAAAAAGGAAAATAACGCTGATATATGCATTAGATCTTCAGGCAGAGGGAACAGACCTGTCTTTTCTGTGAGTGAAATTAGGATTTTTATGAATAGCACTCTATTAAGCACTTTTAAAAAACTGTTACAACGACGTTAAGTCGTTATTTGAATTGATTTGTTAATTCAATTAGTCAATCACTGATTTTTGACAATGATGGACACAATTAGACCAAGTGATGGTCTAATTAATCGAGTCGGGTTATTAATTTGCGATAATTAGCGCACCCGAGATTGGTAAATTAATCTCGTCCAATTGTTTTAATTTGGTTAATTTGGTTGGATCCGTTTACTTCATTCACGTAACCGCGAATTAGTTTAGAGTGACGCTCTTTCTATTTTATAACCTCTGGCAGATATCAGAGATTTTTTCAGAATCAAGGCAGATATGTTGCAATAACAAACGATTTTCCCCTATAAATGCCCTAGCAGTTGAAAAATACTCTTCGTTATTTAAGGTGACGGGACGAAGCCGAACTAAATTATATGTAAAATATAGTACATGGTGTCTCAAGAGATTGTTAGAAATTTACCTATCAAACCAAATAATGCTTCTAAATAAGACTATAATCACCCACAACAGTTATTGCTCATAAAATAATAGCAGCAATTAATTTCAGTCAGGTCACTCGTCCCCCCCCCCCAGCTATTCTAAAGACCCCCTTTGAGATTTTTCTAAATCTGAAGAGAAAAGTTGGGGGGGGTACAATTATTCTGATTTCCAACAGCAGTGTAAAAAATTAAATTTTGATAACGTAAAGAATAACATTATAGAATAACATATCTGCATAGAAAGAGACATTGCAGATAAGATTGATTTGAATACTCTTGTTGACACATTTAGATTAGCTAACAACAAAAAGTTAACAAAAAATCGCTGATTCTGTGGCTTTCAGATTGTCATAAAACATGCGTGAAAATGCGGGAAATAGCGTTTTAGAAACCCTAGAAATAACCCCCCTACAAGTCTCAAGCCCTACACGTCGCAAGTGTAAGCAGGGGCCGCGGATCTCGGAGGCACTTGGGCACAGTGCCCCCCCCCCACGCCACATTCGGAAAACACCAAATTGTGCCCCTTTTTTCAAGCGAACTTTTTCGAACTTTTTCGTGCTCTTCTTTGAGCCATTAAATGTGTGTTATTGTTGTACATGAACTCAGACTCAGTAGAGATTTGTATTTAGCAAAATGTAGCATTGCAGTTGTAATTTAAAATAACGTAAAGTAATTCAGTGAATTTCACTGTATTGCTGCTGTATTGGGGTAAATGTGACATAGTTGTGATTGAGGCCCTTTTTTGTCAGTGTCTCCCCAAAAAAAAAACTTTCTAAATCGTTCCGCGGCCCTTGACTGCACGTTTTGTTGTAATGTCAACGATATCTTCAGAGCAAATAACTTACTGACTTGAGTGACTTCAGAGCAAGATTAAAACAAATTAAAAATAGGCAAGTCGTTGTCGATCGAACTATTCAGTGTATTTGAATTTCCTGTTCGCTGTTAACTCTTACTGTTACCTCGAATGATACGACCCAGAGATTCACGCATGGGGTCCTGCATGTTTACGCGTTATCAGCACGAGCGGGCGTCAAATTTCATAATTTTCACTAGGGAAATATACGAGATTAATATTATTAGAGTTATTTTAAGAATTTACTTTATTGAAAGACGCCTTTACAATAGACTCAATTTATTGGCACGGCACGACTAAAATTGGTACGCGTACCCAATTTTTTTTAAGCCCCGTTTACACTACAGTCAATTTATCGGCACGGCACGGCTAAAATGGGTACCCGTGCCCAATTTCACTAGTGTTCAGGCTACCAAAACAAAGACCGGGCGCGGATGAAATGGGCACGGGTACCCATTTTAGCCGTGCCGTGCCAATAAATCGAGTGTAGTGTAAACGGGGCTTTAGTGTCCTGGATACCAAAACAAAGACCGCGAGCACAAATGCATGGAATGGGCAAGGGTATATACCCATGTTAGCCGTGCCGTGCCAAAAAATCGAGTGTATGTAACCGGGGCTGAAGTTAAAATACTTGCAACCTATTACAATAAATAAGAAGGCTTTGGTTCATAAAAACTACATAAAGTGTTACTACACAAATTATATCTACAATGAATTTCAGAATTGTAGCTTCGAGTGTTTTCAATTAATGTCTGAATCTAGGTTATTTAACTCAATGTCTATAGTGTTCAAAGTCGGTCTATGTCACGGGCTCCTGGAGCCTCGCACATGCACAAAGGAGCAGAGATCTCATATCAGCTCAAAAACAGATTTTAGTGCGGAGCCAGGTCATCGCTACTCCTTTCATCGAGTATGCCTTTCCTAGCCGAGAGTTGTTCTGAAAAGGTATTCAGGAAATGATGTGTTCCCCCCTGCAACCGCCGTACGCACTGAAGACCAGTAGTGTAAACGAGACATGCTCCAATTGTACACACCGCTAATTATATTGGCGTTCTTCTCCCGTTTGTTTCTTGTAAAAGTAGCATTCAGGTTCTGGTTCAAATGTGTCTTCGCATAAGGATTAACTTTGACTAACTCGCCCCACCCGTCACTTTCCACTCAGACGCCATTTAGTGACCCCACAATGAAATACGCGAAGAATATTTAATCTTTTTCTAAAATTATTTCTCACCACATTTTTTACTAACTGTAAAATATAGATGCACATTCCTATATCTTTATGTTGGTATATATTTGCTGTTTAGGAAATCGTTTATAGAAGCAACAAGGCTGGTAAAGCTATTGAAAGAAAAAGATGGAAACACTTAGCCAATCTACCGTACAGATGCACGAAGGTATGACAAATGGTCTCAAGACGACTGAAGAAGTTATCAAAAAATATAAACGGAAAAACTATGAAGGAATGGAAGCCGACTTACTAAATGTTAAAAATGGTTTCATCAAACACAAAAAGCTAGCAGAAGAAATGAAAAATGAAGTGACTAAATGTCAGGAAGAGCAGATGGATGATCGAAAGCGCATTTCACGCCTGGAGGATGTATTTAAAAAACTCCAACCCCAAGTGGACAATTTAATGAAGAAAAACAAAAATTTGGAAATAGCGCGAATCACTAGCAACTTCGAGTATGGCCTTGCAGCATACATCTACCCACCAGAAACAAAAATCACATTCAGTCCAATCTTCCCAAGCCTGATGTTGTGGCTGAACGATGAAAGAGATACGCCAGAAGGAGTTGAAGGTAACAGAAAGTGGGATGAATTTGTGAGAAGTTCTCACTGGTCAGAAGCGCACGAAAGAGTTTTCTATAAAATGCTCACGTTTCGAAAGGAAATTGATTACATGAATGCCGATTTTCAAGAAAGATTCGATGACAGAGAGAAACTATGTGTTGAAGATATATGTCAAATGAGCGGACAATTAAATCAATATTGAACAACATTTAATTTATAAGTAAATAACATGTATAGGTACACCACGTATTCAATACTGCATGCAAAGCTTTCGGTCCGTAACCCGTGCCTTCATCAGTGCAAAATTACAACTTGAAAATACTTTTTACTTTTAAATTCGACCCTCCTTCGTTCTAAGATTTTTAATTGACTATTCCTGCACATTTTCAGTAACCTTTCAATATTAATAATCATGTTACGAGAACATTGAACATTTTGCATGTAGTCTGAGCTGAAAATCAATAACAACAATTATCGTGTTTCCAAAACTGAAGGTTTCGATTATAGTCTTTTAGCCTTCCAGCATCTAAACTTTTAACAAAATAACGACTGTGAATATTTTTTTGCCATTGACACTTTCATTTTAAAATATCCAGTCTTTTCGTCTGAGTTTCGATAGCGTTTCTCTTCATTTCATTCATACTAATTTTTATGAGCTGTAATAATATAAGGATGTAATCAACTTTGCATAAATATTGAGAATAAAAGCTATAATGGTAGTTGATCGCATGATAATACGTGCCGTGTTGGATGGCGTTCATTACAATTCGACAAAATAGAAGCGGAACGGAAGGAGTATAACAATGATTGGAATATATTGATTAAGAGGAAACTTTCTCATCGATCAGTGATAACAAAATTTATATTTACACTCCATTGAGTGTGAATGCATGTGAGTGAGCCTAACACAAACGTTCATGTTTTTATAAGCAAGTGTCACCGGTTCCTCTATAAAACCCCCTCTTCCCCGCGCGGGTGAAGCGTACTTTGTTTTTGAACCCATCAAAGCCCATCCTTGTTTTTCAGCAGACTCTTGAATAAAAAAGTTAGGGAGAATGTGGATGCAATGAGAACGACATCATTTAGACAAAATATTTTATTTATTGTTGATTATTGCGACTGTGGCTAACTAGCTATGGCTAATACAGCCCCAAAATGCTACCATTTACATTCCTAGTGTCAATTTAGTATACGCTCTTTTCAGCTGTGGTAATTTGATTGCATTTTCTTGCATAGATTAAAAAGTAGTGAATAATGCAGAAGGTCTATTCATGCTCTGTAGATGTTGCTTTTAATGACCGAATGTCACTTTGCATGGGCGATTTGATTTTTATATCATGAAGACATAAAATAAATTATACCCGATTTCTTGTCTATATAACATTGGCCCTGCAGCGCTACAACGACCATGCAGTGGTTATAACACCGCGTAATTGTCTGCGTTTGTTTATTATAAACATACAAATGCACTGCACATTGTGTGAAAAAACTTTTTTCAGGTTTATATATTGTTTGCAATTTAGAGACCAAGTTTTATTTTCCAATTAAACGCCACTAAATCCATCATTGTCCACAGTAGTATTAGCTTGACTGCAGCTGTCGTATTGCTATTATATATATTTATAGGAATTATAGCCACTTATTGTGATCTTCCTGTTTGATGTTGGACAAAGACACGCTCCAGCATCCGTTTCAGCTTTCGACAGATCGTTTGAATTTTTGCCCTCTTGAATAGAATGACCTTCAGAACTTCAGATCTTCGATTTAAACCGGATTAAGAAAATCAGTCTATAATTAAGTGAACGTGATCAATTAGTATATTTTTACAGATATGCATAGTAAAGCAATTAAAACAGTGATGACATGTAAAATAGACGCACTTACTCGCAGAGAGATGATCTCATTATGCCAGCTTAATTAAAAGACACATTTATTCAAGAGGATTAGACACATTAGAGACAAACGCATTTAGACAATTATAATATTAGTTATAGTATCAAACTGAATATATAGCCAAAGACGCTCAAAATTTCACTAAAACGTATATTTCTCTATACTTAAGCCACCTAAAAAGAAATGAAATTATATAAAGCGACATACAATTTTTTCATATATAATTTTTTCATACATATATATACACAGCATATACATGATTTACCTTATTATTGCATAGGTTTTATTTTGATAGACAGTGCTTTACATCACAGTTTACATCCATGCCGAGTTCCATGGGCATCCCTCTGGCTTTAAAATATTTGCTCCATTTCACTTGTTTATATTACTTTTGCATTAAATTTATTAATCATAACTTGATGCGACATATAGTTGCCTTAATTGTTTTTATTACATATAATGTTTTCAATCATTTGGATCCTATTAATCTTTGCATATGCATGCTACATTTAAAAATTAATAGGGTTAATACGGGATAATGGAGCTGGTTCAACGACCACAACCGAAGGTCAAAACTACAATAGAGGTATTATCAAATACTGTATAAACACAACAGTAGAATGACGAACGTGATATTTATTTAATTTCTTAATTATAGAAATAATATGTTGGAAATGAAACCGAACAGGGCACCCGAGACGATTGTGCAATGAAACATTATATATAGACCAGTGAGAGACAAGGAGTGGGAGCGAGGGAGATGAAAGAGGAAGGGGGGGAGGAAGAGGGAGAGGAAGAGGAAGAGAGAGAGGACGAGGGAGAGGGAGGGGAGGAGAAAGAGGGACGAGAGCTGAGAGAACACAGAAGTATGCCGTTTATTTTGTTTCAAAATTCATATTGATTCTAATTCATATATTTTGAATAAACTATAACTTGAATATGGTATTTTTTTCGATAAATCTACATTGCGCAATGAGTTTTAAAATAACAATAATTCTATCGCTTTGTTCGTGCAGATTGCAGAAAAAGTAGCTTTAAGTAGCCCTTACTATGCGCCGCTGGCCATATTTACATCAGAATTGTATAAAATTATAAGATTGGGTCCAATGTATGCTAAAAACGCCGTTTTTTTTTCTTTTTACCGCAAAAAGGAGCATGTCATAAGAAAGATCGTACCGTTATGTACCGAATACTAAAATTTGAGAACATTTGTGTGGACAGTTAATAAGAAACCGTAACTGTAAATATTAAATATACTTTTCCCTATTCTTGATTAGCATAATGGCATCTTATATATATATATTTTACGTAGATTTTTTGCTTCATTAAGCGAGAAATATACGTTTTAGCTAAATTTTGAGCATCTTTGGCTATATATTCAGCTTGATACTATAACTTATATTATAATTGTCTAAATGCGTCTGTCTCTAATGTGTCTAATCCTCTTGAATAAATGTGTCTTTTAATTAAGCAGGCATAATGAGATCATCTTTCTTTTGCATTTTGTTCGCTGCGAGTAAGTGCGTCTGTTTTACATGTCATCACTGTTTTAATTGCTTTACTTTAATAGCACGTCAACCTACTGTCTTCTGAATAATTCCTTAATCCCCGAGCGCAAGTTCCATCGTCTGCGCTACAAACTGCAGCAAAACACGGCACAGCACATTGCAATATTATGTAGAACAATGAAATCAACCTTCATAAACAGAAGTTTTAACTTCGATGCAGTGCATGGAATAGGCATGCATTTTGTATGAAATGCATAAATTCAAATTCCACAATTAGGATGATAACGTGAATATATATGTCAATGCCATGTAATATTGTAAGATGTTTTTGCAATGTGTCGTTGCTGTTGCCCTCAAACATTCAGCGCGTAACGTCTGCGCCTTCAACTGATGTGTACTTTTGGACAGATGGGAAAATACTGTTCTAAATAACGTTTGAAACTGAATAACGTTTGAAACTAAATAATGTTTGAAAGGATCGTATATATGCGTGTGCAAGTTGCGCCAAGTTTAACTTATAATCGTAACCTCATTGGACCATTGTTTGTCATATGGCAAAAGTACTTTTGATTTGTATGCACATCTACGCTAATTCCTGTTGTAGCAACTGACTTTGGCAAATGTTAACATTAATAGCGTCGGTGAGAGGATCATATACAAGTTAAGTTTAATTTGAGCAAGAAGGCAATTATGCAAAATAATCCCGCGTATGTTGGGACTGTGCAGCACAATGATGCACGTCATTTGTAAGGCCGTATAATTCTGTAAAACATAGACGTATACATAGAAATTGAAATAAACCAGTTCGGTTTATGGCACATCTATGTTGGTCATCTATGTTGGTCATCTCTGTAAATCTGTATAAAATCGACTGCTTTATTCTAATTACAGTCTAACAATGCATAAATAAGCTATACATCTTGTAATTTTAGAGCTTAAACGAAAAAATGTCTAAAAACCTTTTATTATTAAATAACCAAATTCTACTTTTGAATCATTAAACACAGTTGAATGTGAGGCCCAATAAAAGGCCCAATCTGAGGCCGAATCTGAGGCTGAATCCGCGGCTAACTTCATAGTGGTACTTTATACTATATATACTAGATAAATTATATAATAACTAGTATTTAGTCTGATGATGTCTGTGATCTTTCGAAAGCTGAAGCGGATGCTGAAATGCCAACTTCCAGGAAAAAATGCCGACATTTAATTACACACACGAATTTCTGAGCATTGTGACATCTCGCCTTTGACTGGTGAACCTTTCATGTGTATAAACCAATTTTAACATAATTCCAAATAATTTGGTCATCCCATAAACCCAAACAACTTTACAATTGTTTCTTCAACTAATTCTAACCATATGCATGGTATTCTAAGAAAAGAAAGCCTGCTAATGGCCCAGAGAAACCTATTGCTTAATAGTAATTTTCAAACCTATCCATCAACACTCTTCTAATTTGCTGGTATAATTCTTGTGTCTGTTATCAACATCAATTAACACTGACGCTAAGTCTTGAAATTCCTTTCTAAACTTATATATTCCGCATAAATTTGAACTATATGCTATATACTAGATAGAATAACTAGTATTTAGTCTGATGATGTCTTTCGAAATTTGAAAAATTTCGAAAGCTGAAACGGATGCTGAAACTTGTCTCGTTCGAGCTTCTAACAGGAAGATCAAACAAGGACAACAACTCGATCAGTAGATATAAATAAGGGAGCTACATATAGTCATATGATATTCAGTTCAAGTCACAGTGGTGATTGGATATAGTTGCGAGTGGAATTGGCACAAGTAAGTCCGTACAGGTATAATTTTTGTGCATTTATATGTCATAATAAACAAGACCACGGGTCGTTGTAGGGCTGCGGGGTCAATGATTCAGCAAATCTGGTACTATATTGTACTAGACTGGCATTAAAATCGTCCAAAATGACTTTTATAAATTTTCGCATTTGGTAAATCCGGCTCGTTAGATGGCATTAGTAAATACGCAGGCTCTCGATCGTTATAAACATTGTACATTTGTTGCTTGAGATGCAATAAATGAGGTTGAAAGAGAGGCATGTGAACTGGTGCCTGCTGAAAAAACTGTGAATTGAGAGCCGAAATAACAGTGCCGGAATCGGTAAAAGAGCATGTTTTACATTGGCCAATGCCGCAAGGCAATGTGCCATTCGCCTCTAAACAGTTTTGCTGTAGAGAGTTGTGATGCAATGTGTCCCGGATATTTTTGTTGTGCCGAAAAGAGACTAGGGGGTTATCGGTGAAAATGGAAGAAGTCTCGGGAGCAT